TTATGTTGTTGTCTTTTCTGTTAAAACAGAGAGCAAAAGAACTCACTGGAGTATAAGGATAAAAGCTGATGAGCATGCCACTAATGGAGAGAGGGGATTAATTTCATAGAACCAGTATCTCCCCATCCTGTTTCCATTTGATGTCAATCAAAACATATTGTTGGCCATTTAGTTTTTAAAAGAGCGTATGCTTGTGCATGTACAGATATTTTATGTACAATAAAGGGAGAAGGAAGGGATAAATGAAAGAATAGAGAAAACTATACTGTAGTAGTCAGGATGTGGTGGAACCAAATTGCACTTTTTAAATTGAGAATGTATTCTTGGTCTGTAAGAACAGAGTTCTGGAGTAGAGTTGTGGCAGGTTCCCTTTTTAGTAGACACCTCTTGTCTGTTGCTGAACACATCAATTGTATCTTCATCCTCCATTTCCACCTGTGCAGGTGTGTCTGTTTCATTGATTGGCTGTCCATCAAATCTGAATCTGACCTGCCTCATTGACAAACCTTGTCATTCACATAGGCTTTCATTAGTTTACTAAGTAGTGTATGCCTCTTAATCTTAAACTGCACCACAGAACCATCCTGCCTCTCCACCTTCAAATTAATGTGGTCGTTGTTCTCAATCTTGATTCTTTCATTAGGCTTTTTGTCAGCCATAGCGAGCACCCAAGTCTTCTCAGCTGTGGCTTCACAAAAGAGATACTAGGTCTGCACCAAGTGAGCACACAAGCCGCACCAGGAGTAGCAGAAGGAGGTGGCAGAGGTCTGGTACAATTTAGAATCCAAAAGTAAATCCATACATTTATAGCCAGTTTATTTCAACAAGGTTGCCATGAGTATTTAGTAGCAAAATAATAGTCTCTTCAACAAGCACTGCTAGAACAACTGGATTTTCACATGTAAAAGGATGAAGTTCTACTCCTGCTTCACACTATGTATAAAAATTAACACAAGGGCCAGGTATTTAGCTCAGTGGTTTCGCCGCCTGCCTTGCAAGCGCAAGGACCCAAGTTCAGTCCCCGGTACCACACACACACACACACACACACACACACACACACACACACAAACAAAAAAAAAAAAAAAAAAAAAAACAAGACAATCAAATCAATACAAATTCACCATTATGGCTGTGATAAAAAAGATCAATAATAACAATAATGAAGAAAAATTGGGACCCAACATTATTGTTAGTAATCTAATAACATAGGGTTTAATTCTTTGTGACTTTGGATTTGGCATTGGATTCTTAGATGTGATAACAAAAACATAAGCAACAAAATAAACATTAAATTTAATAAAACTTTAGGAGTTTTGGCATGGTACTGGAACAAAAATAGATATATGGATCAATGGGACAGAACTGAGGATACAGAAACTTCTTCAGACATATTCAGCTATTTGGTCTCCAGCAAAGGGACCAAAAGAATATTTTGGAGGGATGATAGTCTATTCAACAAGTGCTGGGAAAACTGGTTATCTGTGTACAAAAGATTGAAACTGGACCCTTACCTCTCACTGTATACTAAATTAAAAACAAAATGGATCAAAACCCTAAACATTAAAACAGAAACATTAAACTACTGGAAGATAAAATAGGTAGAACTTGAAGACATAGATATAGGAAAGGATTTTCCAAACAGAACCTCAGTTGCACAAGAAATAACACAAATGGAATTATATCAGACTAAAAAGTTTCTGTACAGCAAAAGAATCAATTAGTACAGTGAAGAGACAGACTACTGGATGGGAAAAATTTTGCTAGTTACTCCTCAGAGGACTAATCTCTATAGTATGCAAAGAGCTAAAAAAAAAAAAAAAACAGCTAAAATTAAAGATCCAGTTAAGAAATGGGCAAGAAAAATGAACAACAGCAAAAAAAGAAATGAACAGACAGTTCATAAGAGGAAGAAATACAAATGGCCAACAAATATATGAAAAAAATGCTTAACATTTATGGCCACTAGAAAAATGCAAATGAAAACAAAGCTAAAATTCCATCTTATTCCAGAAAGGATGGCAGCCATTAAGAAATCAAAGAATAACAAATGCTGATGAGGCCATGGTGAAAAAGGAATCCTCATTCGTTGTTGGGAATGTAAACTAGTATAACCATTATGGAAATTGGTGTGGAGATTTTTCAAAGAACTGAAATTAGAAATTCCGTATGACCCAGTATTCCCCCTACTAATTATCTTCCCAAAGAGGTTAAGAACTCATACTACAGTGATACATGCATACACACCAATGTTTGTAGCAGCATAATTAATCTGGGATACAGCCTGTATACTGTCAACAGATGACTATATTAAGAAAATGTGGCATCTTCGTATAATGAGATACTACTCTGCTGTAAAGAATGACCTTGAGACATGTAGGAAAAGGGATGCACCTGGAAAATATAATATTGAGTGATACAAACAAAACACATGTGCTTAAAGACCATATGGTATCTCTCACTTGAGTGAGGCAGAGTACAAACAAAGAAAATAATAAAGGTGGATAGAAGGTGATAAGGGGATGGATCTCTTGGAATAGGAAAGTGGTCCAAGGAAAGAAGCACAAGGGGTAGGAGGAAGGGAAGGGGAAATTTGTAGAATAAAGATATATCATGTACAAGAACCTAATAACCTCAATGAATGTAGACATTATATGCCGTAGCTCAAGCAAAGATTAATAAAATCAACAAGAGTGAAAAAAGGGATAGGGGAGTTGGAGGAGGGAGGGAAGGGAAGGGAGTTAAAAAAAAAAAAAAAAAAACAAAAGAAGCTGTAGTATGTACACATAACATTCCCCAAGACGATTGTAAGCTGTCGGAACTGCAAATATACACCAATAAAATAAAATTTTTAAAAATTTTAACAAAACTTTAGAAGTTTTGTGCATCAAAGGATATTATCAAGTGAAAAGACAGCCAACAGAATGGGAGAAAATATTTGTAAATCTTGTATCTAATATATGTAAATCATGTATCTAAAACATGTATTAAGTGCAGAATATATAGGAAACTTATAATTCTGCAACAAAAGACTTGATTATTGGTGGGCAGAGAAGTTCAGTGCACATTTCCCCAAAGATACAGTTGGTCCAGAAGCACATGAAGAGATGCTCAACATCAACATTGCAGAAATGCAAATCAAAACCACCATGCTTCATACCTATCAGGATGAATGTTTTTTAAAAAGGAAAAATAACAAGTGTAAGCAAAGATGTAGAGAAAGGGAACCTGTGTACATTGCCAATGGAAATATAAGATATTTCAGCTATGATAAAAAGTTGGACAACTTATCAAAAAGTTAAGCAAGATTACCATATGACCCACTAGTTGTACTCCCATGAATATACCCAAGAGAATGGAAAACAAAGGCTGCAGGTCATGGTAGAGTGCCAGCCTAGCATGGGTGAGGCCTTAGGTTCAATCTCCAGCACTCTGGAAAGACATACATACATACATACATACATACATACATTAAAAATGAAAACCAAGTACTGGAATACATGTATATACATGTTTATCATAGCACTATTAACAATACTTAAAAGGTTAAAATGGTTGGACACTATGCCTCATGCCTATAATTCCAGCTACTCAGGTGGGTTCAAGGCCAGCCTAGGGAAAGTAGTGAAACTCTCAAAAAAGGGATTGGAGGGAATCTCTGTGAGGCCCTGCCTTCAAGTCCCAATAACACACACACACACACAAACACACAAAGTAGGAATAGTTCTAAAATATCTATCAGTGGATGAATGGATAAACAAATTGTGGTATATACATACAATGGAATATTATTCAACCATAAGAAGAACTGAAGTTGGATGTGCCGGTACACACCTGTAATCTCAGCACTCTGGGAAACTGACGGTAGGATCACAAGTTTGAGACCATACTAAGCCACTTAGTGAGACCCTATCTTTAAATTTTTGGAAATATTTTAAAATGCCAAAGATATACCCTACTGGTAGAATATTTGCCTAGTGTGTGTGAGGTCTTGAGCTCATTCCCTGTATTTAAAGGGAAAAATGAGAAATAAATGCAGTACTAGTGTATACTAAAATATGGATAAGCCTTTGAAACTTTATGCTGTGTGAAAAAAGCCATACAGTGGTCATATATAGCATGGTTCCATTTATATGAAATGTTCAGAATAGCTAAATGCAGAGACAGAATGCATTCAGTGGTTAGAGAGAGGAAAGTGACACTGTGGATTATAGTATAAGGGGAAAGGGGGGAATAAGTAAGTTTCAGTTTAGATACTCAAAGGATTGTAGCTACTTGAAAAATATTTCATCAGTAAGTTAGGTGAGATGACATGAAGGGGAAAATGGGAAATTTAAAACAAATAAATATGTTACTATTAAATTGTTTCAGCCAGAGGCCAGAATTTAACAACAGTTTAAGTTCGGATTTGTTCAGGAGACACGGAATAGGCCTGTGAACTTTTTCAAGTTAGAGTCATAATTATCATCTTCAATCTCGATAAGAACAAAGCAAAATACTAGTGACTTCAATGAAGACATCATTAATAAGCAGAATTAACAAACAGTACACTTCATAGATATATAAAGGAAAGCCTCATACTTTTGATGTTGAAGAAGACTTAAATATGGGGCATTCTTTTAGATTTAAATTATAAAGTGTTTGTCCTCAATTCCACAAGTAGGAAAAACTACAATTAGCTAAGCTAATTTTAGTTACTTAAGGAAAGCAATAAAAAGACATGAAATGAATGCAAAAACATGTGCCAGTTATAGTACAAATTACCTATAAAATGCACAGGGAATTTTTGTACATGCCCATATTTTTTTTACTAATGGTGATTATGACTTTTCACTTTGTTTCCATAATTGTATAGCCACTTTTGTCAGTTTATTTTTGTTTTTGTCAGTTTAATGAGTAATATTATCCTGTTTTGTCTCTGCGAAGGTGGAGTCAAACCATGTCAGACAGAAAAATGCCCATTTTGGGGGAGTAAGATTAACTCTCTTCTTTAATTGCAGTTGATGAAAGCCATGAACAAGTCCAATGAGCATGTCCTGGCAGGAGGTGCCTGCTTCAATGAAAAGGCAGACTCTCATCTTGTGTGTGTACAGAATGATGATGGAAACTATCAGACCCAGGCTATTAGTATTCACAATCAGCCCAGGAAAGGTAAGCTTATGAGCTGATTGAGATTTTGATAATGGAAAGTGATTCTGAACTTGGAGCATTGGATATCTCTGCTCTATACTATTGCTTTCTATTTAAAAGTGACCACAAACAAATTACCTTTCCAAGCACATTCTACAGGGTTTTGTTGACTCCACAAGAAGTCATACTTAAAGTTGTAAGTGTGATCTTTGTTATCAAGGAAAATATTCCAAATGTAGTCTTGGGATATTGACAGGTATTTGAAGGTAAGACTGAGCAGTAATGTAGAATCTTTTAGAGCTTTCAGTGATACACCAGCCCACTGTGGCATGTGTGCCATTGGTTCATCACCTCTAGATTAGGCCCTTTATGAAGATTTGGAGCTTGCTGAATGTTGAATAGGTTGACAGGGCTCCTAAGGAAAATATCTAGATTTAGTGTTACTCAGAATGGGGCCTCTTCACTTAGGAGATTGTTAAAAATGACGAATGTACTAATCAGATATATCTGCTAATTAGAATTGTAACAAGACCCCTGAGTGCTCCAGATACACATTAGAGTTTGAGAAGCCTTGCTCAACATGACATTTCCCAAAATGCTTCCTCAGATTCTGTGGTTTTTTTAAACTGTTCACATAGGCCAAAAATGATAACACATGTCTGTAATCCCTGCACTTGGGAGGATGAGACAGGAGGATGGTGAGTTCAGGACAGCCTGGACTATATAGCAAGACCCTGTCTCAAAAACAATTTTTGTCCCATGTTAATAAATAGGAATCTTTGTTAATAAATTAAATCTGAGAAACTTAAACAGGTTAAACAAGTGTCTTTACCACTGAGCTTTTCAGACCATTTATGAGTATTCTAATTTTTTAAGAGGATAGTATCTAGCTCTTCCTAAATTTATTTGGCCACAAATATTTGTTCTCCTCTGAGTTGCTCCCAAAACTGTATTTCTTGCCGGGCATGGTGGCTCACGCCTGTAATCCCAGCACTCTGGAGGCAGAGGCAGGAGGATTGCTACAAGTTCGAGGCCAGCGTGAGCTACATAATGGGTTCAGGGCCAACCTGAACTACAAAGTGAGACCCTGTCTCAAAAAAAAAAACTACAGCTATATTTCTTAAGTCTGTTTTGTGAAACTCTTTTCTAGTAGGAATAGTTTGTTACTGTCTTAAGTGTATTTTTAAAATCAGTTGTTTAGTAAAGGCATAGAAGGTATTTAACACATGTACATCCAAATACAATATTCAGAATAATGTGATGATAAATTCACAATGCTCTCTATTTTGCTTTTTTTTTGTTTTTGGTTTTTTTTTTTGTTGTTGTTGTTGTTTTTTGAGACAGGGTCTTACTGTGTAATTGAGACTGACCTGGAACTCACAGTGATCCTCCTGCCTCAGCCTCCTGAGTTCTGGGATTACAGGCATGTGCCACCATGCCTGGATTCACAATGCTCTCTATTAATGAAATCATATCTAGAATATTCAAATAAGTTCTGGATGTCATTAATGGAAGTATATTGATAAAACTAGATTGGGTCCAGGGGATGACTTAAGACCTGTGAGAAACAGGAACCAAGGTCAGAGGAAGATGAATAAAGATCTGTATAAATGTCTAACTTGGAAAGAAATACATTGGAAGAGGATGAAAAATAGCTGTATCCAATTTTTAAAGTTATTTATTATGTGAAAATAAGATTCAGCTTATACTCTATTGCTACAAAAGACCAGAACTAGCACCAATGGTGAAACTTACAGAGAGCTGGATTTGGGCTCAATTTGAGAGCGTATTTTGTAACTCTGAGATTGTCCAGAGTAGAGTGAGTTACCTTGTGCTCCTGTGGGCCCCCCGTCATTAACAGTGTCTGACAAAGACTTGTTGACCACCTGTTAGAAATAGTTGGGCCAAGTTGGTTTAGCCCAGTTCAGTTTAAGATGCAGGCAAATGAAAGTACAGTGGCGTCATAAATCTAAATGTAACTGTGTATGTTTTTTATGAGGAGATCATGATAATAGCCATTTTTCTTTGAAATAGTCTTTTTTAGGCTTTGTAGGTCTGTAGTATTTGTCACAATTACTCAAACAAGTGGTGTAGTACAAAACTGGTTTTGACAATATATAAATGAGTTGTATAGCTGTGTTCCAATTAAAGTTCATTTATAAATATGAGAAAATATAAAAATGGAATTAAAGTGTTTGAAGGTGGGGAGGGGAGGAGGGGGTAAAGGGAGGGTGGAGACAAGGGGAAAAAATGACAACCAAGACCTGGAATATAAAGGTACAAGATCCCAGTAATGAATGTAACTGTACTATCTACCTAGAATGCACCAATAAATTCAATTTAAATTTTTTTAAAAGTTCATTTATAGAAATAGACTGCCGCTGAGCAGATTTTAGTTTGCTGACTCCTGGACTTGACTATTAAAATCTCTTTTCTTGTAAGGTTCTTTAATTCCTGATTGGAGGAAGAGGAAAACAGACTTAAAACTTCCTTTCCAAAGCTATGATGAACATGAGAATTACTGATTACTTTTATATTGTGATATAGAGATTCCGTGTTTCAAAAATTTTCTGTGTAATGGTTGCATTTCCCAGTTACCAAATATTTCATTGTTTCAAATCCCTCTGTCTCAGTGTCTATCTTCATGAAACTATTTCTGTTGTTTTTTTAGTGACTGGTGCCAGTTTCTTTGTGTTCAGTGGCGCTCTGAAATCCTCTTCAGGATACCTTGCCAAGTCGAGTATTGTGGAAGGTAAAGAATGAATTGTTTGCTGCATGTATATTAGTCCAGTTTTAATTATACAACTAAGAAGCCAAGAACACTGTGAGAAGTCTTGCCCCTTTCACTATTGATATCTGATCCCCCCCCCCTTTTTTGGCGGTACTGGGGATCAAACTCTGGACCTTGTGCTTGCAAGGCAGGTGGAAGAACCACTGAGCTAAATCCCTGGCCCCTGTTATTTATTATTATTCTGTGGCATCTTACTCTTTAGCAAATTAAAACTACCATGAGAGTGCTTAGTTCTCCAAAAGAGGAGTCTCTTGTACAGACATCATGGGACAGTGACATAAAAAAAAAGAGATGACCTTTCATAGCGCTGGAATGAGGTACCTGAGGGAATGAATGCATGTGAGATCAGGTAAATCATTGGGTGCAGAAAGGTGAATATGTAAGTGAAGTTTATCCTTCTTGCAAGGACACTGTGGTCATCATTTGAGGTACAAAATGAAATGTGCTTGCTGTGTGGTTGCTATAATTAGATGTGACACATCCTGATTAAAAATTAAATGAAGGACTAATCAACACATTTATTCACTTTGTTGTTCTATGCTTGATCATATTTTGACCGAGTTATTTTTGTTGCATTATAAATTACCCCAGAATTTAATGGCTTAAAACAACTGTTTTATCATGCTGGTCAATTCCTTTTAGAGACATCTTGATAGGGTAGTACAGGGATAGGTCAACCCTGCTACGTGATGTTTTGGGGTGTCTCAGTTGGAGTTACCTAAAGGTGGGAATTATTTGATGGCAGCAAGTTAGACTTATCTGAAGGATTGTTCACACACGGGATGGGTCCTGGCCTGGGATTACTTAACAGCCAGGTGTGAACCCTGGAGTCTTTACCAGCCTTGGGATGGTTGGGCTTCCTTAGTGGCTCAGCTCTCCAAGCACAAGTGATATAGCAGTGAGGTAGGTAGGTAGCTTCATTCCCTTTCTGGACCCAGTCCTGAAACTTACAGCGTCACCTCCACCATACTCTAGTGTTGGAAAAAGGGAGAGGAATTTGACTGCACCTCTTGATGGGTGAATGTGATGGCAGCATTGTAGAAGAGCATTGGGCTATCTTTGGAAAATAATCACACATGATGACAAGTTTTCAATTCCACAATAGCTCACTCCAAGGTTCTGTCTAAAAGCAGAGCTGGGCTTCTGCTCTCTTCCATTGCCATGAACTGTTGCTCCTCTGCTCCGTGCGCCATCCTGACTTGGAGCCAGATGATTATGGACCAAAACCTCTGCAAACTGCTTGCTATGGGTGTTCTCCAGGATCAAAGTGTGACTGTAGTGGTGTAAAAGGAGAAAAGGGAAAGAGGATTTCCAAGTTTGGAGAGCCATCCAGGTTTTCCTGGATTTCCAGGTCCAGAAGGGCCTCCGGGGCCTCTGGGTCAAAAGGTTGATGATGGAATTCCAGGACCACTGGCACCAAAAGGAATCAGAGGTCCTCCTGGACTTCCTGGATTCCCAGGAACACCAGGTCTTCCTGGAATGCCAGGTCATGTTGGAGCTCCTGGTTCTCAAGGTATCCCTGGATGAAGTGGAACCAAGGGAGAACATGGATTTGCAGGCAGTTCTTGCTTTCCTGGTTTACAGAGTCCTCCAGGAGCTCTTGGGATCCCTAGTATAATTATGGCATCACTGCCAGGACCAAAGGGTAACCCAGGATATCCAGGTCCTCCTGGAATGCAAGGCCCAGCTGGTCCAGTGGGAATACCTGGACCAATTGTCCTCCAGGACCACGAGGTTTATTGGATTTCAGCTTACCAAAGATTAAAACTAGACCCCTATGTTTCACCATGCACCAAATTAAAATCGAAGTGGATTAAAGATCTAAATATGAAAACAGAAACACCAAACTTGCTGGAAGATAAATTAAGTTAAACTCTTGAAGATATTGGCATAAGAAAAGACTTTATGAACAAATTCTCAGTAGCACAAGAACTAGCACAAAGAATCAACAGCTGGGATCTCATCTTTTAAAAAGCTTCTACATTGCAAGAGAAATCACCAACAGAGATAAGGAAAAACCTACAATGTGGGAAGAAAAATTTACCAGCTGTTCTTCAGACAAAGGTCTACCATCTAGAATATATAAAGAACTAAAAAAATCAGGCCCCCCCAAAACAAAAAGACTCAATTCAAAATTGGGCATCTGAAATGAACATACATTTCTCAGACAAAACGTAAAAGTATCAAAAAAAAAAAAAAAAGAAAAAATGCTCCACATCACTGTTCATTCGAGAGATGCAGATGAAAATAATGCTGAGATTCCACCTCACCCCAGAAAGAATGGCTGCTATCAAGAAATTAACCAGTAACAAATGCTGGTGGGGTTGTGGGAACAAAGGAACCCTTCTTCATTGTTGGTGGGAGTGCAGACTGCTACAACCACTGTGAAAATCAATATGGAGACACCTCAGACAACTAGGCTTAGAGGTTCCATTTGACCCAGCTATTCTGCTGGGTATCTTCCCAAAAGAATTAAAAGGATCCTACCACAGTGATATATACGTACCCATGTTTATAGTGGCACAGTTTGTAATAGGTAAAACTTGGAAACAGCCCAGTTGCTCATCAACAGGAGACTGGATAAAGAAGATGTGTTTTTTAATAAAATGGAGTACTACTCAGCCATTAAAGAATGAGAAACCAGAGTCATTTATAGATAACTTGAGGCCATACTCTTAAGTGAAATTAAGAAGACACACATGTAAATACCAAATACTTTCTCTGATGTGAAAAAGTGTAAATAAGGATGAAAATGTATAATTAATATTGTGTCGCAGGAAGAAAAGAGAAGGATGTAGAGAAGGAGTAGGGGAGGTGGGAGGGGTATGAGAAAGGTATAGTTTCTCTGGTGTGATAAACTAAAAGTGATGTTTTGTAATAGGAAGAAAAGATCTAAAAGGTATTGGGCAAATGGGAGGGGTAGGGAAAGGTAAAAAGGGAAGAGAAAAAAAGTGAAAAGGAAAATAAATGGAAATAAAGTCTTTGTAAATAGGGAAGGGTGGAGGGGGGAAGGGAGGATAAGGGTATGGGGAAAAAATAAGAACCCAGATCTGTCATGTAAAGGTACAAGATCCCAATGATGAATGTAACTGTACCGTATACCTAAAATGTACCAATAAACTCAATGAGGAAAAAAAAGGTGGAGCTGGATTCCAGTGTATTAAATGAAACATATAATCTTATATATATTTATAGATTTTGGCTTTCATTTTTTTTGGTAAATTTAATAAAACAGTGAAATGTGGAGTACATCAATATTTCACAATTAAATTTTATAAGTCTTTTTCTTGAGACATCTTCCTATGTAGCCATAACCAAGGTTGGCCTCACACTTGCAGTTCTTCTACCTCAGGCTGCTGAGTGCTAGGATTACAGATGTGAACCACCACATCCAGCTTTAACAGTTTCTTAACAGCAATTTTTGCCCTTTTTTAAAAAATTCTTTTGAGACAAAGTCTCATTATACATATTTGCTATATAGCCCAGGCTGGCCCAGAACTTACAGCAATCTTCCTGCCTCAGCTTTCTGAGTGTTGGGGATTACAAGCTCGTGCCACTATGCCCAGCAATTTTTTGCTTTATAGTCAGAGTTGTGAAATTTGCTAGGTGTGGCACTGTAAAACCAGCACTTTGTGAGGCTGAGGGAGGAATATCACAGGTTTGAGGCTGGCCTGGGTTACAGAGCAAGACCCTGCCTTTAAAAAGCCTAGATGCCCACTGATAGCTAAATAGATAAGGAGAATGTGATATATATACACAGTGGAGCCATAAAGAAAGATGAATTTGAGTCATTCTTAGGAAAATGGATAGATCTTAAAACCACAGTGTTAAGTGAATTAAATCAGATATAGGTTAAATATCAATAAATATAAATATAAATAAATTAAAGAATAAAATAAAGAAGTAGTAAACAGGGACATAGACTTTTTAGAGATAGGAAACCAGAACAGAGAAAACGGGAGGAGGTGAGGGGAAAGAAAGAGTATCGAAAATGATCAAGATACAACATATATATGTGCACCAGTGCCTCCATATTGTGTGTTACAAGCATTTTATTGGTATAACTTACCAGGTCCACAGAGCTGGGATGTGGCAGGACTGGACTTAAAATCACCTCCTTGTACTTCAGACCCTATACCTTCCCATACCTTCCTATACCTTGGCAGTTCTATTCTAATGGTTTTAAGCTCAAACCTTGGAGTCTTTTTAACACTTTTCTCTTTATGTGTGCTTGTGATACATAATAGATTAAATATTTTGAAAAGAAATTATTAAGTACTCAGGCATGGGAGCACACCCCTATAGTCTCATTCACTTGGGAGTCTGAGGATCACTTGAGCTCAGAATTTTGGCTAGCCTGGGCAGTGTAGGTGGACAAGGTATCCAAAAAAACCAAACCAACAAAGAAATCTAGAAGCTGAACAGTCCCATTTTGTCTAAAGTGACTAATATCTATATGATGAAATTAAAACTGTTGAAATTGTGTCTTTATAAAGTCGTTAAAGAACACCCTTTAAATATTGGTAAGATGATAAGTTGAACTGGCACAGTTCATTACAAATGCAAGGCAGTACTTGTAAAAGTTACATGTTTATATCTGTGGGTGGGAATTTCTTGGATCTTGGAACTCACTGTGTGTTTCAGTAGAGCACTTGGCTGACGGCCTATTTATTAAATTTTTACTGAGGCTCTTTAGAAATTATCTCAGCAGACAAAAATGTGTACCAATGAACCAGGGTAATTGCTCAATAGTGACAACTTTTACCCTCTGTTTCAGTATTTACCTTTGACTGAGGTAGGCAGACACTGAAAAGTAGTTACCATCTGTTGGCTGGTTGCCACGTGAAACTCTGTTGTAACTTTGCCTTACTCACTGTGAATAAATGAATTCCTAAACCTACTACTGTCATTTAGTTGGTGATTTAATGAACATAGAGCATAGACTTGTCATTTCACTCTGTGCCAGGTGATCATAGTAAGGTAAGATAGATGGAGATACAAACAAATGATCAGAGGATGGTAAATGTAAGGGGTGCAACAGAAACAAAATGCTCCATGAATCCAAAAGAGCAAAGTGACTATTTTTAAATTTTTCCTTTGAGCAGTCTCAGGAGAAACCCTTAGCTGTATCTGAAGTGAAATCAGCAGGCAAATGTTTAAACAGAGTCCATGTTGGTGTTTGTTCTCATGGCTTTTTCAAAAAGTAAGAGATTTTGCTAAAAACAAAACAAAACCTCTTTGTGTCTGTCATCTTGGGAGAGCAGAGTGAAATTATGCTTTTAATATCAGAGGGATTTTCTGTGTTTCATCTGCCCCCTCCCCTGTCTTTGCACTGTTTCCATATGTATTATTTTGGTGCTGATTCTTAGATGGCGTCATGGTCCAGATCACCGCCGAGAACATGGACTCATTGAGGCAGGCACTTCGAGAGATGAAAGACTTTACCATCACCTGTGGGAAGGCAGATGCAGAGGAGGACCCCCAGGAGCACATCCACATCCAGTGGGTGGATGATGACAAGAACGTTAACAAGGGGTAAGTGCAGCCAGCCTTGCCACTTGTGGCACTTACAGGACAGGCTCTGGGTTTTGTCTGCTGTCTACACTGGTATTTTAGTTTTTCTGAAAGGCCATCTATGAAGAAGGACTATACAACATAGAATGCTAAGTTTCTGGTGTGTTAGCTTAATTTCTGAAGGAGTTTCTGTATATATTTTTGAGGAAAAGATGACAATAATTGACGAAACAAAAATAGTCCTTCTAAAGTTACTGAGATAATAGAAACGCCTAGCCTACTGTGGTAATGCACACCTATAACCCAACACTTGGGAGGCTGCCACAGGATCATTGCGAGTTCAAGGCCAGCCAGGAACTACGTGGCCAGACCCTGTCTCAGAACTCCCCCCGCAAAAAAAACCCGAAACATCTAACCTGTTTTCTAATATTGTTTCATTCTATATAATAGATAATTAAGTACCAAAAGACTAAATAACTTACCAGGTCCCCCAAACTAGGATGTGGCAGAATTGGACTTAAAATCACCTCCTTGCTCTTCAGATCTTAGACTTTTTCCAGTATGTGGCACTTTTGTCCTAATGGAGATTGCTGCATATGAATTTTCAATTTCGTCTCTAAGGGCCGTCAGTGTAGTGGGTTTTCTGCAATATATGACATCCTTTAGCATTCCCCATATGAGGGTAACACTATCTGTTGAAAAAACATTATACTATTATTCTTTTCCTGAAATGTATATACATTTTTTGTGGGCTCTGTATATATATGTATGTTTGTAGATATTTATGTTTGTTCATTTTGGTTTGGGGGTTTTCTTTTTTCTTTTTTGAGACAGGGTCTCACTAGGTAGCCCAGGCTGCCTCAAATTCACTGCAGTCATCCTGCCTCAGCCTTCCAAGTGCTAGGATTACAAGTGTGCACCATTGCACCCAGCTTCAACAAAATATTTATTTTACTACATTGCCCTTAGAATGTAAGTTCCACGAGGGCAGGGATTTTTATCTGTTTCATTTATTGCTATGTCACCGGCACCTAAAACACTGTCTGGCATGAATAAATATACTGTACTTCATTGTATTAGCCATTCTTACATTTTTTTAGTTATTTATTCATCCATCTCTTCATTTACCCATCTTCCCATCCATCCATTCAGGCTATGTCAGGCTTCTGGAAGTATAAAACTGCTTGCTATAGTAGCACATACATTAAAATTGGAAATACAAAACTGAATTCCAGGGGCTGGGGATGTAGTTAGATGATAAAGTGCATGCATAGCATGTGTGAGGCCCTGGATTCAATCCCCAGCACTGAAAAAGAAAAGGTAAAAATAAATTCCATGTCCCTGCCAACAAGTGGTTCAGTCTAGTTTTGTAGTTACAAATAAGCCAGTGTGGAAGATGCTGACAGAAAACTACCTAACCTTTCTAGGTTAGGTATAGGATATAAAGATCTATAAAAGAAAAAACAGGAAACCTGGTAGATGTGGTAGGACAGTATTCAAAAAAGATTCACTAGAGAATTAGCTGGTGCTTTAGGCAAATCTGATGGAATGAGTATTTGCTACAAAGCTGTGACAGAAGGGGTATTTCAGACTGAGGAAATATTAGGAATAGAAGGCATTTAGAATGTAGCATACAGGGCCGGGGATTTAGTTCAGTGGTTCTGGCACCTGCCTTGCAAGCAGGTCCCCCCGACAAAAAAAAGTACCATACAGATTTTTTTTAATTAAAAAAACTTTTTAAATAAAGCAATTTTTTTCCTTTCTTCCTATCAAACCTAAGGCCTTGAGCATACTAAGCACACACTCTACACTGAGCTATCCCCACCAGCCAAAAAGAAGCAATGTCCAATTAATGAGAATATCTGCCTATTTTATAGGTAACCATTTACAAAACTTCCTGTTTTTCATTGGAGAATTCATTTTCAAAATCAGTTTAGGGGCTGGGGATTTAGCTCAGTGGTTCCGCCACCCGCTTCACAAGCACAAGATCCTGAGTTCGATCCCCAGTACAAAAAAAAAAAAAAAAAACCAAAATCAGTTTGTGTTTAACTCTGTTGTACTTGGAAATGGATGTAATTCATAGAATTAAAAAAAAAAAAGAAAGTGGTCAATCTGAAAATCTGGTGCCAAAAGCTGTCAATAACTGACAACAGCAAAGTGCCTCCTCCTACAGCATCTACTTGTGGCAGGTGCTTAGAAAACAGGACAAAAAGTAGCTAGAGAATGTGCTAGAACACAGGAGGTCACTTTTTCACAATGTTCCCATCCCTGAATGTGTTTTGCCTCAAATTATGCCAGTCACCTGAGTGTGCCTTTGTGAAGGGTGAAGTGCTGCAGGGGCTTGAACACAGGCACGATCATGTCAAGCAAGTGTTCATACCCCAGCCCCTGGAGTGCCTTTTTTTTTTTTAATATTGTTCCCAGATGAGTTAGAACTTTAATTTATGTTGGTCAGGTAATTTTGAATGAATAAAGTGAATGCCTGATTTTTAATCTGACTTTCGATATATACAGAATCGAGACCAAACAAGCTTGAAAGTTTGTTAGGAAGAGTTTAGAACCTTTGTTTCAATCATTTCAAATCCTTACCACATATTTAATTTATTTGGAATCTAGGCATGATAACATAGCATTGATGGGAATTTGTTATGATACATAAGTACTGGTTTATCAGTTTATACCAGCACTGATAATTAACACTTGGTCAAATAAGTCTTACACATTCTTTGAACTCCTAAGTCCCAGACATTGGGTCAGTAATGGAAATATAGTGCACAGAAGTGATTGTGTCGTGCTCCTGGTCCTTCAGGAGTTCATTTGTAAGACAGATTGCAAACATATGATGAGTGTTAGAGTCAGGAGCAAAATGGAGCAGACTGGGTGAGTAGCTATGGAAAGAAGCAAAGAAGGAAGAGCAGGTTTGATTAAAGTTGTGTACATCAGAAGAGCCAGCTCCTAAGCCTAGCATGGTGACACATGCCTGTGATATGAGGCTGAGGCAGGAGGACCAGGAGTTCAAGGCCAACCTGGAGCACACAGAGACCCTGTGCCAGCTCCTGGAGAAATGTCCACTTTTTCATATGTGTGCTGATTTATTTCATTGCACAAGCCCTTCCCATTAGAGCTCTGTTCAAGTTTGTTTTTGTCTGTATTTTGTTGGGATGAGGTATGGTCAGCAAGGCATCCAGTGTAATTAGCAGAAAGACTCAAGAAGACATGTCATTTCCTTTCTCTTTTTCAGTGTTGTAAGTCCTATAGATGGGAAGTCCATGGAGTCTATCACAAATGTGAAGATATTCCATGGATCAGAGTATAAAGCAAATGGAAAAGTCATCAGATGGACAGAGGTAAGGAAGTGAAAATATAATAAATATATATTACATATAATATATATATATATCTGAGGAAAAAAGTCTCCTCGTTTACCTGCTATACTTTAATTCACTCTGGTCTGTCTCAGATCACTAGGAAGAAGTGCCACCAAGTGCAGTCTACTGTATGCTGTTGTATATGTTTCCTATGAACTGGCTTTTAGGGACATACTTGCATTAGGATTGAAAAGGGGTGCATCTCCATGCCACACTCTGTTAAATCTCTCTTAGTAACATGGTCTTTATAGAGACTTACTTCACAATAAGAAAAAGTTCAAAATGCATGCTCTGCACATGTACGAATCTGCCAAAATGAAACCCATTAATCTGTACAACCAATAAAATAAAGGTGTTTTTTTTTTAAATAAAGCTCATAGACTTAAGTATTTGTCAAAATTACAAGGCAAACTCAGATCTGGCCAACTCCTGACCTCTTTTCCCCTAAATTTAGTTGCTCCTTTAACTTGGAGGCTGTGTTAGGGGCCACTCAAGGAATAAGGGTGATACAGGAGAAATGTAATTCCCATCCTGCTAGATGTCAAATGTGCCAAGTTCATGTCCCATGAAATTGAAGAATGAATCCCAAAGGACAAAGGAGTTTGAATAGGAAACATTTATTGGGGAATAGGAATTGCTCCTGAGAGACAGGAGGAGTCTCAAAAGTGGGTTGCCACCAAGGCCCTTTCTCTAAGAATGTTTTATAGAGCCAAATCACGAGATGCATATAAAATCACAAGGTGAGTACAATGTGGGTCAAAGTATATTCAATAAGATTACAAGTATAGCTGCTTAGCTAATACTGATTCAGTAAGGAAGCAGATCATGTAGCAAGAGTACATGGAAGGAACAAAGGCATTTTGAGAAGGGATTGGTCCAAATGCTCTGCTCACCTACATGGATGACTACTGTCTCTTTGGACTTTACTGGACCAGGGATAACAAGTGTAGTGTAATTCCAAGGTGCTGCTGTCCCTTAGGGAGGCATGTAGGGCTGGTCATCATATTTTTATCTTGAGGCCTGGCCTTCGACAATTACACCTCCAGACACAAGTTTGATGTCTTTATTTTTCTGCTGACTTTCTTGAAAGACAAGTCCCTTTCCAAGTGTATATTAATTTCTTTCTAACTTAGCTGCTTGTAATAAGGGGAGCAGGTTGGCACCTCCTGCGTGTGTGCAAATCATATATATCAGAAAATTAATTCTCAAAGAGTAAATAGGTAGACCCTAGGTCTCTTAAGTGCTTTCGAACCTCATACTTAGCTGTGAAATAAAACATTGACTTGTAAGATATCTAGGGTTCCTTCCAGCTTTAAGGCTTAGTTTTTCTTTTTAGTTGTGACTTTTGGCTTTCCCATTTCACACTGAGGCAGAAGAGGTGAAGTGTCTTCTTGATGTCCGTGTGGCTGCTTCTTGACAGCATGGGGGTCACAGCCTGGTCTTGGGTGATTGTTTCAAGTAACTCATCATTTCTACCTGGCTGTTGTCCCACACAGCTGATTTTAGTTATTTACTTTCTCATGATATCCCTGTGACACGTTTCGAGCAGTGCAGAGTCTAGAACTCTTCATAGCTTGTGATTTATTTTGACCTTCATCCCCTCCCTTAGCATCCCACTCAGTGAGGTAGGTGGGCTTCCCACTCCACTATGCAGATAGGGACACAGGCTTTACTGATGTTGTGCATAGTAGAGCAGGGGCCAGAGTGGTCTCCTGACTCCTCCAAAGCTCTCACCATCATTTCATGCTGCCACTCTCCCCAGAGCATCCAGGCCATAGAGCTTCTGCCCCTTCCGTTAATGTTCTTGGTATAATAAATGTTTTATTAAGCATGAAGCTGGGCTTTGGTATTTTTTTTTTCCTATTTTTCCTTTATATTGTTACTCTTTATAATGTAGAGGATGGATGCTTTACATTTTTTTACAGAGGTAAATTAGGCACTAGAAACCCTTTGAAGTTAGGTAAGGTAGCATACATCTAAAACGCTGGCATGTGGCAGGCTGTGGCAGGAGTATCATTGCTAGTTTGAGGCCAGTCTTTATTAGTTGAGACCCTGTCTCAAGAAAAAAAAATAGGAAGGAGGGCAAGGGGAAGAAGAGGAGAAGTTGGGGGAGGAAGCAAAAAAAAAGTAGCAGTAGTAGTTCTTTGAAAGCTTGGTGTGATAGCTTATTTAAGTGTAGACCCAGCTACTTGGGCAACTGAGACAGAAGGATCACCTGAATGCAAGAGCTCGGAGGCAGCCTGGGCAATATAGTGAGATACCCCCCCACACACACACAAAAAAAAAACCCATGTCCTTTGATTAAAGTTTGCTCTGTGTGATTAGGACGCGGGTCTTGGCTCCGGGTTTGCTATGTTTCTGCCCATGCACACATGGACACATTTCTGGCCTCCATAGCGCCAGAGCCACATGGAGGGCAAAGCTCTGCAACAAAAGGCGGAAGTCTGGGGTTCTGGGCCTGGCTCTGTCTTTACCTACTTCTGTACAATTGAGTGGGTGATCCTCTTCTCATTCATGAGTACTCCCATAGAATGAAGGGGCTGGGCCATACTCTGTCAGGACTATTCTGTTGTTTTTTCCTTGTGGTACTGAGGATTGAAACCAGGGCCTTTACAATGAGCCATATCCTTAGTCCAATTTTCTATTTTGTGTTTTGAGACAGGGGGTCTTGCTAAGTTGTTCAGACTGGGCTCAAACTTGTGGTCCTCCTGCCTCAGCCTACTAAATACTGGGATCCCAGCTTATTAAGAAAACTGTCTATACATACATGTTACTTTTTTAGAAGTGTCAGTTGCAAAAAATCTAGGCATGTCAGGTTCAGAGGAGAATGTACCTTTAGACCATGATGGAGGTTTGCAGGCAGATAGGACTGCCACTGTCAGCACGCGGGCACAGGAGTGATAGCAGAGCCTCATTTTTCATGGCCCAGGGACTTCGGCGTCCTGATGTGCCCATCTTGGAGAATCAGGGTGCTTCTATACAGTGAGCCAGTCTACTTGTTTCTGCCAAAATATGGTGCAAGTGTAAGTCTCTGTATTTTGGAAACAGGTGTTTTTCCTGGAAAATGATGACCAGCATAACTGCCTGAGTGACCCTGCAGACCACAGCAGACTGACCGAGCATGTCGCCAAGGCTTTTTGCCTCGCTCTCTGTCCCCACCTGAAGCTTCTAAAGGAAGATGGCATGACAAAACTGGGACTCCGTGTGACACTTGACTCAGATCAGGTAAGGAAGGTCTTAGGATACTCTTGTATCTGGCTGTAGGCAGTGTCCATATTTTCTGCAATGTGAGTTTTTTCCATCGACTCAGAGCTTAACTCTGTAGACCCTGCCCTGAGCAGATTGGAGCATTCTGATTCTCCCTCTCACAGTAGTAATGCACCCAGACGTGCTACTCAGTTAGGTGAATTCAAAGCCATACTCTTTACCTTCCTACCTTCCTGTAGGGTGAGAATATGTGAGGACCTGGTGCCACCTGTGACTGGCATCTGCACTACTCTCTAACACTCTCAGCAGGCAGGTCCCATGGGGTCATTTTTTGTTGTTGCTTTTTGAGACAGGGTCTTGCTATGTAGTTCAGGCTGCCCTTTAACTATAACTCAAACTGGCTTCGAACTCTCAGTGATCCTCCTGCCTCAGCCTGCCAAGTTCTGGGATTACAGGCATGTGCTACCATGCCAGGGCTCTAACCTTATTTTCTTAATCCTGATGAAGCACACTTCTGATAACTGAACTTTGAAGCTGTCCATAGTTTAGTAAGGTTGCTCTTGACAGAATTTCCATGCTAGTTAGTGGCTAGAATTGAACTTACTTCTCTAATAAAGTAATTGTCCTATTAGTTCAGATCTATTGCCAGGCTTCCCTCCCTGTCTTAAGGTTTTTTTGGTGCTCTGTGTAAGAACAATCTAAGTCTTCAGTCCCTATGCCCAGTTCCTTTCCACGTTTCTATCCTATGGCCAAGCACTCTTTGTCTCTCTACATTTCTTTTGGATTCTAGATTACTTCAGCCGGTCCTCTTGGTCTTGCTTTGATGCTTACAAACTGCCATTTGTCTTTTTTAACCCTTTAGCTTCGAGTCTTTAAGTGGGCTCTCAGCTTGACAAGCCTTCTAGAACTAAGTATCAATTGTTTCCAAAATGCTGCTTGTAACCTGAGTGCTTACAGGAAGACACTGGTTCCCAAGTACCGTACTGTGTTGTCAAATAATGAAAGGTTATGTGTCTGGCTCTACTTGCTGACTAGCATCCATCAACAAGTACTTCTTTTCTACTTAAGACCTTGCCCAGTGCTTTAGGGAGCATATTAGGCTACTACCAATGAAGCAGCATGGTCCTGTCCCAAATGGTGCTGATAATGGAGCTGGAGAGTGAACTCTCTCAATGCAAGTAGAGAACAAGTAATTTTCTGGGAAATTTATGAGCTGCCTCGGTCAGGAGTGCTGTTATCTTTGAATCCATGTTTTTAGGTGCTCAGAAAATGGTGCATGAATGACTCGATGGGCTGAATAACACATGCATTGTCTATTTCTCATTTTAACAGTCAAAGGTTAAAGTATTATTCCTGACTCTCCGTACCTCCCTATGGACCCCCAACCCCTTCCCAAGAAAATAAAGACCCTAACAAAGTACATGACTAGCCCAAGATCTTATGGTTATGAAGTGTTATGAAGGATGAATATAGGACAGGATGCAGTGTGACAATGCAGAGAATTTATATCTACTGTTGAGTGTCTAGCTGTGACCAGCAAGGACATTGCTTTTTCTGTTGAGTCTCCTTAGCTCTCAGCCCCCATCTTCTCTGCCTAGTAACCTGTCATCCCTTCTCTCTGGTGTAGGTTGGCTATCAAGCAGGGAGCAATGGCCAGCCCCTTCCCTCACAGTACATGAATGATCTGGACAGCGCCTTGGTGCCGGTGATCCATGGAGGGGCCTGCCAGCTCAGTGAGGGCCCCGTCGTCATGGAACTCATCTTTTATATTCTGGAAAACATCGCATAGACAGGACTTCATTTTTTTCTGTTTCAACCTGTTGCAACAGCAGTCATACCCAAATCATTTGCACTTTAAAACTGGAAGATTAAGCTTTTGGTAACACTATTAATGGGGGGCGGGGGGAATAGGGTGGGAATAAGGGTTTGGGGGGACGGGGGGGAAAGGGTGGTTGGGGGAACAGATGTTCCATAATTCTATGTCTTCTATGCATTGTCCACCAAGACCTGGACAGCTTCTGTTACTGCACAACAGTCATGCTATCTTTACAGCTAATCCCCTTCTGTTACTGTCTAGACAAGAACTCGGCTCCTCTAAGATTACTATGGTCATGTGCTCAGAAATGCTTAAATGGGTACAACCTTCACCAAGGGTGGGGTGGGAGAGCAAAGGAAAAATAAACCATGAAACATCAGTTTTGCACTCTGTACAGAAATGATATAAAAAGGACAACTCCACAAAGATCTTGTCCCAGTTATATCACAGCTGTTTACCAAGTAGAAGTCACACTTAGATTGTTTGTTTTCACCAGATTACCCGTTGAAGTGAATCAAAGACCAAAGGGAGCCGTGTAGCCATGGAGGACCTCCATGTAGTCATGGAAGCGGCTCAGTGTAAAGTGAAGTCATTTGGACAGCGAGCTGAGTGCGGGATCACTTGAGGTCTGCCCAAGTGAATGGCAGGTACTAAACTGGGCCTTTCTGTGAAAGCTGACAAAAGACACCCAAGACATTTTTAATTACTATGTAGTAGAAATATTTTTAAAAACATTTTATTGGGAAAGCATTTAAACTTCCAGGAAAGCTGCAGGTACAGAAAATCCCACTACATGCTCTTCATCTACATTCACTTATTGTTCACTTATTAACATTTTGCCCCATATGATGTTTCTCCCCAGCCCTATAAAAAAGTGAAGCATTTAAGTTGCATATATCATGGCCCTTTACCTCTAAGTATTTTGATACTTATTTCCTATCTATACGGACAGCCTTAAATAACTGCAAAACAGTTCTTAACTTTAGTCAAGTTCCCATTGATAGCATCCCCTCTGCTCCCAGCAAACCTAGGCCTAGGAGCAGACGCAGCACGTAGCTGGCATGACTTGCCTTTATTTTTATGTCATTGGTATCTTTCGTGACTATAGGCCTCCCCATCTTTGTAATAGAATACCTCATTTTGAGTTGAAGTTTAGAATCAGTTTATGCATTCATGGCCAGAATCACCTGATACCATCTGCCTCGCATTGAGGAGGTAACTCTGATAACCTGGAAAGGTGTTGTCTGATTTCTCCGCTATACCCTCCCGAAATAATAACCACATGTAAAGACATTGTTAAACCATGCAAAGATCTTGCTCATCAAAATGTCCCCTTAGATTTAGCACACACTGACATTTCATATCTGTACTGACACTGTACTACAACACTTGCAGAATAATTTTCCAACTCCAGAACTCCATCTGCATTTACCAACTGAATTTAGTAATTATAAATAGAAGCCCTTCTTCCCTATTTTATTCATTCATTTAATTTTTATTATGGCCTTGTGAATTCTTTTTCAGTGATTTTAATTTATTATTTTGGTGCTTAGTTCTCAGCTGTGACCAAATGGAGCACCTTCAGGCTGTTTCCTATATCCCTATGAACATAATTAATTTGTAACACTTCCTTTTCTAGCTTAAAAATTCTTCAGGCTAATCTAATGCTTATTCTTATCATCTCGGAATCAGCCATTTCGCCAATGAGCCCTGGTTTCTTTTAGTGGTCATGGTACAAGAAGCCAAGGTCTGGCTTACCCAGGATATAGATGATATATTTTGATAATTTTCAAAACTTATCTTGGAGCTAGGTGTGGTAATGAATGCCTGTCATCCCAACTACTCGGGAAGACTGTTAATTTCCAGGCCAGTTTAGGCAATTGAGAGAGACCCTATCACAAAACCTAGGAAGGGCTGTGGGTGAAGCTCAGTAGTAGTTGTCGGCTTAATCCCTAGTTCTGCAAGGAAAAAATTTATTCTAGACACAGACCAAATGGATCTACAAGCCACAATTTGCATAATACTGCTGTAGGGCGACTCATTCCTTTTCACTAGCATCTTCTGAAAGGCCAGGACAGGGCACACTAGAGTTCTCTGCTTTTAGGTGAGGTTCCGGGGTTCCATGCAGGCCTGTGGGCCAGTGAGAGGCCACTCCCCAGTGGCTGGAGCTGGGCCTGGCACTTGGCAGAAACAGACTGTGGAGCTGTGTTCAGGGCAGTAGCTGTTTCCCAGGTGCCCAAAGGCCTTGCCTGGAAAATTTAGCTGGGTTCTTCCCTCTCCGTTATTTGGGGTTAAGGGTTGTATCTATAGCTGCTTCTTCAAAGGTGTTGGCATTAGGAGCTATCAAGAAATGGATCTGGAACCTTCCCCATAAATTCAGAGGACTAGAGCTTCTAAACTTCCCCTAAACCCATGGCACCAGCATTAGGACTGTGCCCACAGCCCAATGAGAACAGGGGCAGGTATATTTAGTGTTAAATATCCAGCTTAGGTCTAAATACACCTCAGAAGTCTGGCGCTTTCATAGTGGCTGGTCCTGTTTACAGTGTATTTTCCTCCTCTGCTAAATCCATCTTGGCATTGTACACTCTTTCTTCTGGATCAATGCAGGCTTTTAAATTTTTCCACTAAAGACAATATGTGGCCCTGTATAGTCAGGTCCATCCTCAAGTAAATAAAAATGTCCTTTATGTATAGTACAATCAACTTAAGGGATTGAGTGTAGAACAACCAAAACTACTTTGTTTTTTCCTTGTGTTTATCTTTGGCTTTATACAATGTGTACAGTAAGAATAGCGAAGAGCTGAAGCATCACATTTATAATCAGGTAAACTTCTAGATTGTAAACTTAAGTAGTGAGCTGTCACCCTCCTCCTTAACTGAAGAGAAATAGAATTGCCATTCTAGTAATTTATTAAATTTTTAAAATTATTGAATGCTTGCCAAATGCCAGGCAGTGTTTTTCCATTTGTTCTTATCAACACTTTCTGCATTCCAGAGTGGCACAGATAGGGGATTTTGCCAGTGTAAATCCCCATTCTCCTGTCTTCTCTGACCCAGAATGGTTCCTAATGGAAGGACCAAAAGTTCCAATTAAATTTACCTCTATGATCATGTGGGAAACAGTTTAAACATTTAACACATTCAGACAGGCAGCTGATTACACAGTTTCTGGAGTTGATAGTGGTTTCTACTTTAATGCTAAAATAGTAATTTAAATAATGGTCACGGGACTTGTAGGAGTGGTTTACATAGACAGAAGGACTAAGGAATACAGCAGGAAAAATGACACCCATCCTCAAGGCTGGGTAGCCTTGAAAAGGGGGAAAAGAGGCCAGGAAAAGGGAAAGATTCCTTTGTGATGGAGCTGGACCAGAGTACCAGTCCCAGCCTCACCGTTCCAACCTGCAAAAAGCTGACCGTACTTAAAGGGTAAGGCCTTCTAGGAGAGGGCTTAAATTCTGGGAAAATGAGCTCTCAAAATGTGGAAGCAACCATGCCAGTTTCAGAATGGTGCTATGAAAAAGAAAAAATAATGTTACAAGAAATCTGTCCTTTAATTGGAGCAAAACTTCTAATTGTGAGCAATTTCTTCCATATTCAGTTCACTAATTCAGAAGAAAGTATGTCCTGCATTAGATCAAAGAATTTAGGGCCGGGGATTTAATGCTCAGTGGTGCCACTGCCTGCCTCGCAAGCATAGGGTCCTAAGTTTGATCCCAGGTACCAAAAAGAAAAAAAGAATTTAAAATCTGAAAATGATTTTTGGGTCATTCCTGGTTCCCAACTGCGCATGAATGACAAATCTTCAATGTTTTGGTTACAGTATTTAGATGAGGAGGCTGGGCAGGCCCCTCCCACTACCCATGCAAGCCTGTGCTACAACAAAGAGCTTTTAAGAACCCCAGTCTCCAAGTCCAGTGGGTAGCTTTGTCTTGCCTAGGTCAGCCCTGAGGTTTTGTTTTATAAAGAGCAGTGAAGCCCACTGAAACCGAATGTGTTACAAAGGACAACAATCGTTGGAGCCATTAAAAGTGCCCTATTGAAACAAGGTATTTCCAGTAGAAACCTGAATTAGGCTTGTCAGAACCTTTGCAGATAAACCCAGTGGCCCTTCATTAGTAAGTGTTGGATTGGACACAAACCCTAAGGGGAAAACAAGGCTGAGCTGTCTCTGCTTCTGAGGACCCTCTTTATTCTAGATCACTGCTTGACACAGGTGTGTGCAACTTCAAGGGTATGTTCAATCTCTACTCTGTGGAAGTTTTGGTAGCTCACTGTGACAGGTAAGACTGACCAGTGAGCTCTGGGGAAAGTCATAGTCTGTAGCTCCTGCTACGTTACCACTAAAAACTCTGCTCCTAGGGGTAGGGAAGCATGGCCTAACCCTGTTATCCCCAAAGAAGACAAAAGCTCAAACCCTGAGCTGTGCTTTTGAAATACTATAGTGATCAGTAAGCTGAATTTACTTGCTTACAGCCTTTGAAAAATAATCTTGAAGAATGTTTTGTTGAACTTAATGCTTCAAAAGGGGTGTTTATTTCTAAGAAATGTAGACTGTTGGAAGTTTTGAATATTAAACCTATTACAAGTCCCTTCATCATTTTCATCCCTTGAGGAAAACAAAACCAAAGGAGAAGTTTTTGGAAAGAAGTAAGGTATGCCCAGACAATAAGCCAAATGAAGAAGGCCTCCCCTGCTCTCTCAAAAAGGAAGGCAAAGCAGCAGTGGACAAATGTTACCACTACTCTAGCTTTTTAACAGTGCCAGGGAGGAGGGTGTTTGTTTAAACTGATGGTTTACAATGTAGAGTGTAAAATCCCTACAATGAATAAGACCTAGTTTCTTAAATAAAAATTGGCTACATAAAATTTTATATATTTATATATAATATATATGTTTCTCCTCATTTAACAGGAAAAGCAGCAGTGGACAAATGTTACCACTACTCTAGCTTTTTAACAGTGCCAGGGAGGAGGGTGTTTGTTTAAACTGATGGTTTACAATGTAGAGTGTAAAATCCCTACAATGAATAAGACCTAGTTTCTTAAATAAAAATTGGCTACATAAAATTTTATATATTTATATATAATATATATGTTTCTCCTCAGTTAACAGGTCTTTCATCTTAGGCACGTGGACCCAACCCATGATACAACCTTACCCTTATTTCCCACCAAGTAGTACCAAAAATAACTTTCCTCTTCCACTGAGTCCACCGGGAAGCAGGAAGGTTAGTGCAGCAGCTGTCAGGAAAAAAGGCACAGGCACAGGCAGAACTGGGGTAACTGAGTCGAGGGGGGACAGGCTGCTGTCATTGGCTGAGTCCCCCAAGCAGGGAAGGTACCCAATCACCCTCGAGCTCTCCCATCCCTTAGTTACATCTTTCAAAGGCACATCCAGAAATGGGGCAAGCTGTACAGAGGTTAAGGGGCTGCAGGACTCCATGGCACAGAGCAGTGAGGGTGTCCTTGCCTTTGCCCTCATCTGGGACAAGGGGAGAGCTCCTGGAATCCCACCTGCTTCTGGGTCAGTAGGGCATGTACTTAATAAAGTCTTTGGTGCTTGTGTAGCAGCATCTCTCTTATGCACAAAGGCTTCCACGGCCAGGAAAGCTAGGAAGGTAGTTCCTGTACACGGCTGCCAGTTGATCCTCTCCCAGTGCTGACTACCTGATGCACAGGGCACAAAGCACAGGTCAGTCTGCACCACAATGAAGCAGTTTTAGAAAAGATTTCCTGCACACTTAAGCCTTGGATGGTTATTTTTCTCCCCCAGTTCTACTGGGGAATGTGAAAAACTCAGCCCATGATCCCTACCCAATAGTTCTGCCCCTCTGGTTTCCTCACAGATGAAAGCCCAGGCTTTCTCCCAGGCAGTAAGCTAGGACTAAGTAAGAAAGGAGCTCTATCAGCCCCTAGAAGAGGTTCAGAGGGCTCCAGGAGCCACCCACCTCACAGGCCTCTGGGCTCCAGGACCAGCCAGTTCTCTGTCACCTTCTGCATGTCTTGGCCGCTCAATGGCTCCCGCAGCCTCACCTTCACCTCCAGCTTCCCTCCAGTTGGTTTCCTCCCATCTAGGACCTGTGAGAACAATGAGAAGGGAGATGTTAAATATGCTGCTGATGGGGATGTGCTGAGGGCAGGCAGAGCCCTAAGGTCCTGGAAAGAGGATCTAAGATGCCCTGCGGTATTAATGTGGAGTGTGCATCTCACGACAGTCCTGCTCCTACTGTGTATTGGTAGCTGTTTCAGGAGCAATATATGAATCTAGTAGATGAGCATCAGGGCTTTGAATATTCACTCACTTTTGCTCTGATCCCCATGGCAACTCCTGGGAGAAACACTGGCTTTAAGAAGCACCTAGAAGCCAGAGCCCAAACCCTCATTTCACTGCTGGCCCAAGGAAAAGGCCATGACTACAGCAGATTGAGGGTTCCTTCCTCTCTACCCACTGCTATGCCCTCCTTCAGGCAAGAGAAGGAGCAGCTGGAGTGTAAATACAAACAGGCCCCGCTTCAGAACAGCAACCCAGGCAGGCAGTGGGTAGATGCACAAAAAGCTCAGCCTTCAAAGCCTTCAGTAAGAATCAGGTCTCAGCTCTGCCCAGGTCACACCACATAAACTAATAGAACCACACTTTCCCCTGGCCTAACTTTCCCCATCTCTCCCAAGCAAGCTCTTAAGAATTCCTGTCTGTAATCCTGTAAGTTCACTGAAGCTCAAGGACCTATCTAGGGGCCAGTTTTCTAAGCACAGACTAGCTTCATTCAGTCTGTGATCCTGAAATATACACCTTATCAATTTCAGGTCTAGAGCTTATTTTACTTCCTTGTGATGTCAGACACTTGTCCCAACCAGTTACCCTGCCCCTGTGTGCCAAGCTGACAGGAGGGATCAGACTCACTCACTGGTCTCTCTCATCTATCACCCTTGGGCACTTAAGTGGCCCAGAGTATTGTGGGAAGTATATGGCTACTTCCTATGTGGCTGACACTGAAATTTTTTTAGGTCTTCCGAAGCTTTTTCATCTGTGAAGTGGAGACACTATCTACTCTACAGTACCCTATGGAAAATTTACAATTAAGTCACAGGCCTAGAAACCTGTAACAGGGACTGGCATTCCCTGAGTATCTGCTCTCCTCTTACCAAGTCCTCTGGCTTGTCACTCCCATACCTCTACAATCTCTCTGATCTCACACACATTCTCCAGCTGCTCCAACTTCAGGTGTGCTGTGCCAACCAGCTTGTCACTCCTGAAGAGGGATCTGGAGAACCAAGAGGAGGGAGAGATTAGACTGGGCAGGGAAGGTGAGCATGAACAAGCTGAACTCAGGGCTGTAAAACTGAATAGCATCAGGGATAGAAATGCCATTCCTTCCTCCCCACCCATCTTGTGTGACTAACAGGAGCCTCACCCTTTGTGGAAGATTTCAAACTTGATTCCTTTGCTCTGGATCACCCTCCTGAAGCCCCGGTGGTTTCGGTTGATGTTTAGTTTGAAGACTTGATCAAATTCTGCAAAAGGGGAGAAGACAAGTAGAGGCTTGGCTCCCAGGGATTTCCTGAGGAAGCAGGCAGACTCTGGGTAGGCTTCTCCTCTTGACCTCCCTGCCTGCAATTCAAGGTGTCTGCCACCAGGAGGAAGGAGGTAGAGCATCAGGACCCTAGCTTGGAAGGAGATGGTTTTTGTACTCTTGGTAAACATAGATTATATAGAAATGGGAAGGACAGCGAAACTGGTGTGAGGATTCCTGGGTCCCATTTCTACCATCTTGTCGTGAGGGCCTAGAAAAGTCCCTTTACCTCACTGAGCCTCAGTTTTACCAATTACATAAGTACATCAATAATACCTGTTTTATCTCCCAGATGGGTAAACAAAATTAAACTATAGATCTGAAAGCACTCTGGAAACAAGTGCTTCTCATGGAGCGAGTGAGAGGGAAGAGAAAGGAGTCCTGGGTGGCACTCACCTGGGGAGTTTGTATTCTTCACTACAGTAGTTTTGCCTTTTTGAGCCTGGTCCTAAAGCAATAAGGGAAAAGCCAAGACAGTTTGACAAACAGAGATATGCAGAGCCAGGAACTCTGCACTGAGTCGGTGTTTTGGGAAAAGAACCCTGAGGAACTAGGCTGAAGGGTCTTCAAACCCCTTCCTTAAGGTAGGCCTTTTAGGGATGGAGAAAAACAGAACACAAAGTCTTGCACAGGAAGATGGGTTCAGAGGATCCTAATTCTGCCTGAGCCTCACCGAGTTAGGGTAGTGAAGCTCAAACCGCACAAAAGCATCCAAGTCATCAGGGGTCACCCCTGTGAGGAAGGAAGGAAGTCAATCAGAGAGAGTGGCCAGAAGCCAGGTGCTGGGGCTGAAGTACTAGATAGGGTTACCTGGAGGGGCTGGGAGGTTCATTCCCCGGACAATGATCAGATGCATTTCTGTGCTGTTAAGCTCTGAGAAGATCCTACAGCCAAGAAGAATGAGGAGAGCTTGACACAAAAGGCAAATGGCAGAACCCTTTCCCCTCTTCAGTGCTTGCCAGGCCACCTGAGTGGGCCCACAGAGAAGGGCACAGATCCTGGTCTCTGACTCCTGGTCCAGAGCTCTTCCGACAGCTACCACCTGAGTGCTCTGGCAGATACTATGCCCTCCTTGCCGGCCCCAGGGCCTACAGCACTGAGAAAGTCTCACTAAAGACCCTGGACTTCCAAATTCCAGCCCCGTTCCCCAAAAAGCCATGTGTCCCTTAGGCTCTGGCACCTCACAGTCTGGAATGTCTTCAACTCAAAGTGGTGGCCGGGAGGGTCGAGGCCCTGGGCCTGAGCCAACTGCAGGATCTCCAGCTGTTTCTTGCGGTCCTGAGCAAGCTTCTCAAATCTGACAGGGATTGGTATGCACATCAGCAGGGCAAGCCTGGTTTTCTGCTCCCCACCCAAGCTCTAGCCCCAGCCCTTGCACTCACCGGGTAGTCTCAGCCACATTGCCCTGGTGCATGAACTGCTTGGAGAACAGCAGGCACTTCTAAAAATAGGGGCCCAGAGTAACTCCAGTGCCAGAGCACTTGGCTATACTGGCCCCCAGGGCCTCACCTCTCCTCCCCAACACATACCCGGCCCTGTTCCCAGGGCCCACCACACCTTTCTGCCTATATTTGACTGTTTCCTCTCCCGACGAGTCATTCAATCTCACTTAGCAAACTCCCATTCTTCCTTCAAAGTCTAATTCAAACATCATCTCAGATGGAAGACTTCTCAGAAAAACAGGCAGTAATTCAGAAGGATACACACACAACAATATGTAATCTCCCATCTACAAAGTTCTTTCCCCTTGACTTTGTTGTCTGAACTTTAACTACCTTAAAATGAAGGTACTGCCACTTTCCAGATAAGGAGTTGTGGTTCAGTCAGGGCAAATGCCTTGCCTAAGGTCGCACGGCCAGTGAGTGAAAGAACCAGAATTAGAATTCAGGTCTACCTGCTTGGAGCCTTCTCCCTGTCTCCACAGGGAGGGACCAAAAGAGAAGGAAGAGACAAGCAGCCCACCAACCTCATACTGCTCCAGAAGCATTTTTTGTAGCTGGGCATACACTTCCTCAGCCTTTGGGGAGAGCCGTAGGCCCTCGTGGTGGATGAGGATGAAGTCACCCTCTTCATCTGTCCATGGTGAAGGTACCTGCTGAAGTCACAAGGGCCCTCAGGCCCTAAGAGTCAGATGATTCCGTCACTGAGCTGATAAAGGCAGGTATTCAAACGAAATGTTTCTTCAAATCCCATGACCTCCAGTAATGGGCACTCATTGCCTCTCATCTATCCCAGGCTGTAGGAACTCTGCTCCTACTGGCTTTGCCCAGCCTTGTCCTCCCTAATGAGGGGCAGCCCTCTTCCCTTCCCCGGGTCACTCTTGGGCCACGAAGGAGACAGGCAAGCAGCCACATCCCACCTCTTTCAAGAAGCTGCCCCATTATCACAGCGCTGCCTGTCAAGCCACCCCTGCCTCTTGCTCAAGAAGGGCTGGTGCTTTTACCAGGTGGGACTCACCGAGAGGTCAACAGGTCGGCCGGCTCGGGCCTGCACGATTTGAGCCTCAAGCCCCTTGGCAACCCGCAGGTGGGCTTTGGCCTTCTCCAGGTCTTGCCTGCGCTTCGCCTGCAGGGCTGCTCGCTGGTACTGCAGCTTCCGTGCCTCCAGGAGTGCCAGCTGCTCCCGCACTGGAGGGGCAGAGCCAATGGTTAGGCCATAGTTCGTGAGACCCTCCACTCCTCCGACCTGTTTGTCCCCGGCTCACCAGATGGACTCAGAGACTCCCTAGAACTCGAGGCCTTGGGTTCAGGCTGGGGCTGGGATGAAGGAATCAGAGGTTGAGCTGGCTTCTTGGCCACCGGGGCCTTTGCTGAGGGCTCAACCTGCAAACAAGCAGGCGGCTGACCTGAGATTGTGTATACCTGCCCTGTGTCTGCATCTAGCCTTGGACTCTTGCTAAGCCCATGCTAACCTGCTGTGTGACCTGAGATGAGTGGCCTATCTCCTTGGACCCTACAAAATCTCAGAGCTGAAACAAACTTCACAAACTCTCTAGTCATCTCCCCAGCAGGATACTGGGGCCGAACCCGGGCTCTAAATGACAAACACCTGAGTTTGGATTCCACCTCTGCCACTGGCCAAGTGTTTCCTCTGGAATTGTGGAAAGGAGACCTAACCTCACTGGGCTTGTTGGTATGGACAACAGGGGATAGGTTTACCTCTCAGCTGTCACTTCTCCCCACCCAGCCCTGCACCTTGGGCTCCTGGCCAAACCTCATCCTCATCTTCATCTGCCAGCGTTGTATCTTCTGAAGTGGCCAGTTTTTGGGCAGCTGCCAAAGTTGCTGCCACTGAGTCCTCATTGCTCACAGTGGGCTCCAGGCCAGGGATGGGGGGAAATCCTGTGAAAAGAGACAGGGTGGGGAGAGGATGTGAGGGAGGCTGCTGTGGGTCCTAACTCTGTCTGGGCATAGTGTGGATGGCTGGCTTCCCCAGGGTGGAGGCAGATACAGATGTTTCTTCCCCCGACCCTTCTGGCCCAGAGACCTCCTCACAGAGCCTGGAGGCCAAGACCCCTCACCTGGAGGAACAGGCAACTCAGCAAAGTCCACTTTCCGTCCTGCTCGGTGTGCTCGAATAGCATCTTGATATTGCTGCACAGGAAGGAAGCAAAGGACTCCTGGGAAGCTGAGCAGGCACACAGGCAGGCACACCCACCACAACAGATGGGCAGGGAGAGGAAGACTGCAAAAGTCAGCAGTCGTGGGAGAAAGAGTCTTAAGGTAGCAAGCGCCCAAGAGAGAAAGACTTCGAGAAGACCAGGGCAGCAGAAGCAAGAGACAGAAACAGCTGGCCAGGGAAAGAGGCCAGAGCAGGGCAGGGCTCTGTGCAGCTATGGGCCCACCTTGGCGAGGCGCTCATGCATCCGGGCCTTGCGCTCATCCCCATTGGCCCGGGCCTGGGTGCCCGCCTCACGGTACTTGTTCAGCCTTTGCTGCAGGGCATCTAGCACTGTCTGTGGCTCTGCAGGGGTCACTTAAAGGAGATAAGGGAGGACATCAGCTTTGCCTATCCCTCCTCAGGTTCCTACTCCCCAGTCCCACCATCAGATCCTACCTGGGGTGGGTGGGATGTCAGAGGCCATCACTGGCTGTACTCGCTCCACTGCGGGGGGTAGGACTGAGGGTGCTTCAGGAGCCTCAGCAACCTGTGAGGGAGTCTTCAGGTCTGGGGGCCCAAAGCGATGTGTAGGCAGCGTGCCTGGTAGCCCCATCCTCCCAGCCTAGCCTGAGCAGGTGCCCTACAATTCCCATACTGACCCTCAGGTGCCGGGGGCATGGTGCTGAGGTCCACAGGCTGCCCCTTCTCCAGGGATTCCAGGACAGCACCAAATCGCTGCAACAGTGAGAAAAGCAGGTGTGGACATTGGTCCTGAGACCTGGGCTGGACCAGCTAGCTCTCCCTTAGGCTGATTCCCTGAGCCTCTACTTCCCCACCTGTAAAGCGAGGGATGGATAGTGCAGCAGATCCCAACGTCATACCTTCCCAATCCTCATGAGCTCTCGGGCACGGTCCAACTCTCCAGCCCGCTTGGCGTTGAGGGCAGCCACTTTGTATTCTCTTTGTCGCGCCAACAGCAGGGCCCGGAGGTCTGGGTCTGCATCCGGAAGGGTAGCAATGCCAGGACTGCCCAACAGGCTGGACTCAGGGTGGGAGGCATTGTCTGTAGGAAACAGCCCCCACAGAGGGTCCCACTGGGCTGAGGACATGTTGACAAAAGTGACTGATGGCAATGGGCGGGGCAGGGTGGGGAGACAGACGGCAGGCGGGCACTGGCTCTGGGAACTGGGCAGGATTTGGGTCTCCAGATACCTGGCTCCAAAACAGAGGTAGCTGGGGCATCTGCCTCAGGGCTCCTGTTGGCTGTTTCCTGGGAGACTGGGGGCCTCTTGCTTAAGGCCACTGGAGGTGGGATCTCCTCCTCATTGACCTTCCTGCCCTTTCTCACAGCAGCTAACTGCAACTCCAGTGTCTGCGGGAGAGAGCCAGTCTAGAAACCTAGAGAGCAATCTCAGCCTGGACCCTGCTTGAAGACAGGCCAGGGCCCCATCACCCCACAGGGCTGGTGGGGAGGCATCCCCTCCACTGCGCAGACTTCTGCTGCTGCTTCCCCCAAAACCCTCTCCCAAGACCCAGCCCTCTTTCCAGACCTGCCCCATCCATCACCTTCAGGCCTCGCTCACAGCGCCTGGCTTTGGCCGCTTCACCTGCCTTCTTCGCACTAGCTGCAGCTTCCCGGTAATTGCAGATCCGTTCCTCCAGCAGAGCCTGCAGCCCCTGAGGCCCTCCAGCCTGCAGATACTTCAGCTCAGGGCTGGGCCACTCCACGGCCAGCTAGGCCCTGGCCATTCTCTCCCTGTGAGGAAGCTGCCCCAGAAGATGGAGCTCTGGGACTCCAGGAGAAAGAAGAGCCTAAAGCCCCATGGTGTGAAGTAAAGACCCACTGGGGAGACCAGAGGCCAGGTCAGAGGCAAACACAGGGCCAGGCAATCAATGGGGCCAAGACATGGCTTCATGGAGTGGTGTGGGAGAACAGAGAGGCCTTTGAGGCTGGCCAGCCACAGGAGTTTCTCGTGCTCAGTTTTTACTTAGGCCAGCTACTGAAGGAGGGTGACTGTGGCGTGCTGTGCCAGCCTTGCTGCATGCATATTAGACATGGACAAGAGGAGCATCAGAGGCGCACAGGGCCCCTCCAGAGCCTACCTGAGCTGCTGGGACTGACGGTGTTAGCAGGCCTGCCGGTGCTGAAGCTTCAGTGTCTTCCTGTCCCTTCTCCTCACAGAGGTCTGGACTAGCTGCCTCACTGCTGTCTGGGGGCCCAACCTCCTCATCTGTACCCAGGACTACTTGCAGCTCATTCTGGAAAAACACAACAAGCACCAGCAGCTTGGGGGCCTCATGGCCACACCCTTGACAGGATCTGAGAATAAATGTCTCCCCAGTACTGTTTCCAAATGTCAGGACCTCTGTTCTGCATGGTCCCCCTTATAAAAACTTTTCTTTAATCTAACCAAGGACAGCTTTGAAAACAGTGAAGACTTCAAATCTCAGAATCTACCATTGCAGAGCTCAGACCAGAAGTTAAAGGAGATAAATCTCACACTGCACAGCCCAGAAGATAGGTCCAGAAGTGCAGGGTACCCACTCAAGGTCAGAAATGTAGAGGGACAAATCACAGGCCTCTTTTCTACCACCCTCTCCACTGGTCCAAGCTTGGCCACCAGCCTGGCAGACGCACCAGCAGGTCTGCATCCTCCTCCAGACCTTCCTCCTCCTCTTCTTCCTCCACATCCCGCATACAGTCTGCCGCCAACTTCTCAATGTGGGCCATGGGGAGAGGGGCTGGGAAATGGGGTTAGAGGTCAGGACAATTCAAGTAAGGTCCAAGATGAATAAAGTGGTAGATACACCGGAACAGAAATTCCCCTTCCTTCCCACAGCAAAGTCCTACCCAGGAAACTATTCTTCCTTTATGACCCAGCTCAAAAGACACCTGTCAGGGACACCTTCCTGGCCTCCAACAAGTAACAAGTTGACCACTCTCTGCCCTTCTAGTAGTTATTCATGAATGTATCCATCTATCCTACAAGCATCCTTTTCATACTTATAAAGGTTTCCAGAGCCCATTTGAACTTTGTAGCAGTTCTGCAAGATAGGTAATATTGTATCTATTTTATATAATGAATAAGCTGTGAAATAATAGTAGCAATTTTCTTAACATTGAAATCCTACCAAGTGTTAGAACCAAGGTTTATCGAAACCGAAAAACAGGGCCAGATCAGTGAGTCCAGTTCTCTCACTGTCAGCTGAAATGTACAGGAGAGGGGGAGTGTTTCTCTCTGAAGGGTCCAGGTGAGACGTGAGGAAGGTTTAGAATCCCAACCCCACAGTTCTCCTAAGCCTAAGACCTCTGTCCTCTTGTGGGCTGTGGAAGGAAGTTCCACCTGTTCGTGTCACACACTGCCTGAGCGCTTACTAGGTGCCTAATTGTGTCTGTTCTCCCTGGACCCACATGGTTTCCCAGACCCTGGCTAGGGCTAAGGACAGTGACTCAAGTCAGTCAGAGAACCGATTTGTCCACAAGAGGATGAGGCTCCCATCACACAGATACAAGCTCATCCTTCTGGGTCTGGGATTTAGCTCAGTGGTTCTGCCACCTGCTTTGCAAGCGCAAGGTCCCAAGTTTGATCCCCAGTACCAAAAAAACAACAAGCTCGACCTCTTGTGGAAGAGTTGCAGAGGGACAGGGGTATTGGAAGGACCAAGGGATCTGGCTGGCTCCTCAAGACCGTAAGGCAAAGACCCTCTCTACCACAGGCCTGCATCTATCTGGTTGCAGTACTGAGTCGGCCCAGGGTCAAAAACTCACCCTGCCCCTTGGGTGCTGGCTTCCCGCTTCTGGTTCCTGTCTCCCCGGTGAGAGCTAACAACTCAGCTTCCAGGTCTCCGTCATCTTCGGTCTCATCCATTCCGAGCATCATATCTTCAGGGCTGAACTCCACAAAGAGCCCCAGCTGACAGAACAGAAGGTTTCTTAGGAATCACACCATGAGGCAGGGTAGAGCTTAGCCCCAGAGCCAGACTTGGGGTCCCAATATCCCAGTCAAGTGGCTCCTCCACTCTGTGAGGACTAATGTGCAGAAAGGGAAACTGAGGGCTGCAACATTACCCCTTGGACACTTATCTCCACGGAGACTATAAGGAACCCAGTAAGACCACACTACCATTATTATGAACAGTAATAACAGCAGTAGCTGCCACTACTAGTCACAGCATTCTACATTATTAGTTAAATGCCACAATCCTGAGAACTAGGTCCTATTTCTTTTTAATTGTAATAAAAGACACGTAAAGTTCTATTTTTATTTTTATCCCAGTGCTCAGAAGTACGACAGCCTTCTAAATGACAGAATTTAAAATAGTCTTTGAGTCTCTGCCCTTGACTCCACCTCCTCCCTCAGTTTTTTTGTGTTTTGTTTTTTTTCCTTCTGTACTGGGGATCCACCTTAGGACCTTGCAAGGCAGGCAGTAGAACCACTGAGATAAATCCCTGGCCTTCCCTCAGCTTTTTTAAAACAATAAAAACAGACTAAGTCCAAGGACTTGGGCCCAGAAGAAATGAAGGGAGAAAACTGGAAAACAGTCCTCAGCCTCCCACTTTCCTAGCAGCCCTCTGTCCCCAGGGAGCCAGGTTTTCCTGTTGGCAACAGCCCTCAAGCCCTGACATCCTTGGCCGAAAAGCAAGGGCTGACATGGGTAAGGAACCTCAAAGCACGGAGCTCCCATCAGAACATCTTCAACTTGAGAGGCGCCCAAGACCTCCAGACCACTTGTATGGAGCGGTCAAGGCAGGATGATGGCTGGGTTGAAACATTATAAGGTAGTTCAGGACTCCTGGCCCTAACTGTGTGGCAGGGTCTAGTCAAAAGGTTCCTAAGGGCACTGCTCAGATTCTGGACTGACAGGTAAAACAACACAAGTGATTCAATCTAACCCAATTTGCCCAAGCACTCTAACGAACTCCACTCTAAACTGGCACAGTGAGGAAGTAGGTATGTTCATACCTGCTTGGCAGCCGCTACACCCTGGCCACTGGTCTGAGGACCCTTCCGAGGTCTTGGCCCTGGCATCTTGGCAGCCTAGATACCTATCAGGTGGGGAGTTGAAGAGACTCAAAGTGGAACAAGACTGCAAGGCCTGCCCCCAACAGTGGTACCAGGGGGAAGGTGTGATTAGTGAACTCCCCACAGTGGCAGAGCTCTGCCCCAACAGGTGAATCACCACTAAAGTTAGACCCAGGCCACTGAAGCAAGCTACAGGAGGGATGGAAGGCTGGGGACCACCTGTTGGCATGTCACCTGAGGAGTGAGTGTGGACACAAATATAGCATTACTGATTTGACTGACCAGTGTGCAAGGTAGTCAGGGGAGCACCTCTAGCTAGGTGTAGGAGGGGGAAAGGGCTGGGTAGGATTTGGAAAGGCATTAACACAGGGAAGTCCATTCTGGAAGCAACATGTGACCGTTTAAATTCAAGTTAATTAAAAGTGCAGTTCCTCGGGCACACCAGACACATTTCAAATGCTCAACAGCCACAGGGAGTTATGGCTACCAGGGGATGGCACAGACACAGAATACGCTTCATGGCACAGGCTCCTTGGACAGCTCTACACTAGAGAAATGTGACTCAGCATTCAGATTCTCAGGCATCCAACCTTTCACGGGACCTGCATGGCAGATGATCCTAGGCTTGAGAGGTCAGAAGTTAATCAGATACCGCTCAGCCCTCAGGTAACAGGCAGAGACAGACCCACGAACAGAAAACCGCTACACGAGGGTGCTGCAGGTGCAATGAGTTCTCAAAGGCACTTCAGGAGGTGATTTCTGTGCTGAGTCATGAAGGCTCCAGTAGGAAGGGGAATGAATCCCAAGTAGAGGGAACAACCTGGCAACCGCTCTGAGGCGAGGAGCTTGGCTGCACAACGAAACTAAAGCCCTGGTACTACTGGAGCATAAACCAAACCGTGCGACTGGAAATGGTGAAAGCTTAGATGGAAATGTGACCTAAGGGCAAAATAGAACCTTCCAGCCTAAAAAAATCTGGACGTCATTCTGACAACGGGAAAAGTGAAGAGCTGAGGTCGGCGCTTCGGAAACATCACTGTGGCTGCAGGAGGGAAGGTGCACAGGCAATAGTCGGGGCGCCCGGCCGGGCCGCGACGGGGCGTGGGTGGCAGCGGGGACAAGAAGCAGAAGTTACAGGGATGAGATGTGCGCCGCGCCAGCGCTCCCGAGGGCTCAGGTATCAGGTTTCAGTGACCAGTGTGGACAGCGGGGTGGAAATGACGCGGCTCTGCAATCGGCGGCTGCGGTGCTGGACCCAGGCCCCGGCTCCGGAGCGGTGAGCAGCCGGAGGCGAAGCCGGGGATTTTTAAATCACAATTCACCAGCTTAACAACAAGAATACATACAGAAACAAGTTTATTTCTTAGTCACTTACTTCTCATATCAGAGGGAATAAAACGCTTTTGAAAAATACATATAATTTAGTACAGTAAGTATATTTTGGGCTGGTCCACCTAAAGTCAACCTTGAGACAAAAGCTCAGGTGCAAGTACCAATCTGGGAAGTGACTCCAGGGACTAGGAGTGAAGGCTGGAGGGAGTAAATTGGAAAAAGAGGGTCAGCCAATATAATCACAAGTGATCAAGTTAGCCACCCATGTGACTAGTGCTCATTTTGGAGTTGCTGGAAGCCACATGAAAAGCCTCTCAGCACTGCACACCCAGGAGTCAAAAAGGGGAAATGTTCATTTGCACCTGTCCCCTAATGGGCCGGAGGAATTCAACAGGCATTAGGCCATTATTACTTCTAGGTCACTTTGGGCAAATGTCAAGAGATCCCCGTGGGCATCTCTATAACAAAGAATTTGGTTGAGCTTTCCCCAGAATTTTCATCATGTTAGGCCACAACTGATAGTTTATGCTACAGAGATCACCTCTGCGAAAGGGAGGAGGAACTAGGGTTTGACTCACATGAGTGCGAGGCGGGGCTCTCCGACAGGTGACTCCCGGTGAGGTTCGCAGTGCGCAGGCGCCATCGGGCAGGTAGCGCGAGAACAGCTGATTGGCGTTAGGGCGTTTGGCCAGGCCGCCAGCTGCAAATGTAGTATGCGCGCTCCTCTCTCGCCAAGGTGTGGCTTCGCCAGGCCTCTCCCCCGTTCAGGCCTGGCTTCGGGCGGCCCCTCACCGGGCTGGTCGCCCTGGACGAGGGTTAGGGGCGTGCAGACAGCCTCCCTGTGTCCTTCATCCCCAGGTTTCCCGGAAGCGGGGGCCAGGGCTCGCTCCGCTGTTCACGGGTCAGCACCTGGCTGCAGGGCGGGGTGAAACTGCAGGTTGAGCTCGCCTCCCGCAGTGGAACACACTTCAAAGTCTTGATACCTGCTGGGCGTGGTGGCCTTCTGGGAGGGGAGACCGCGAGTTCCAGCCAATCAGGACGATTTGGAGACCGGGTCTCAGAAAAAAGCAAACAAAAAGGCGAGGGATGTACCTCAGTGTAAAGACTCTGAGTTCTATCCGCAACACCGGGGAAGAGGGTGGGGATTTGTTACTAAATTCTTACCCCCTATCCCGCAGTGCTAGTGAATGGGAGTGGGGGGGGGTAGAAATGGCAACTACACCTGCTTTCTGACCAGCTAATAGATCTTAGCCATACTGTCCTGCAGGATGGACATCATCCCCAGGAGAGATGGAGTAACTCTTCAGCATCAGCAGATAGGCTCTAGCCTTGCCTTTCCCAGCTAAAACACTGCCACTTCCCCTACTCCTGACTATGCTCTAAACTTAGGTTTTGGCAATTACTGATTCCCAGGTATTCCAGTTTCCTGTCTTCTGGTTTCTCCGTGTGTGTGTGTGTGTGTGTGTGTGTGTGTGTGTGTGTGTGTGTGAGATACTGGGGTGTGGGTCTGGCTAAGTCACTAAATTGTTCAGGTTGGGCTGGAACCTGAAATCCTCTGGCCTCAGCAACCCAGAGTGCTAGATGACTTGTGTCATCACACTCAGTCTTATTGTTGCTTTTGACTTCTCAGAGAGGGGATCAGCTTCACCACTTTAAGACAGGGTCTCCCTATGTAGCCCCAGGTGGCCTTGAACTTGCAGGGGTCCACCTGCCTCAGCCTCCCAAGTGCTGGTATTAACAGGCGTGCGCCACTACACCCTGCACCATTTTTATTTTAGTTCCACTTGCAAATTTTTTCTTCTTTTAAAGTTATTTTCGCGTTTTTATAAGAAATGTTTGATATACACAAAGACATGCAACATTTTGCCTTTACTAGGATGCAGACTCCACAGAGGCAAACATTTTTGCATTTTCTTGTGTATCTTTGACAGCAAGAGCAGAGTGTGGCATAGAGTATGCACACACTAGTCTATTTTGCATGGGAGTTAACTAACTACTGGACACCGACTAAAAGTTACACAGATACAAGTATGCTGTGTACCTGTATTTATATACATGGTAACATTAAATAATAACAAATAAATGCCAGAGGAAGGACCTACTGTGGTACTGTTAGATTGTATTGATTATAAACTTCCCAAACAGGGAAAGAACCAATTATTTAATGAAAAACTGCAAAACATAATAATCATTTCCATTCATTTTGCTACAATTTCAGTTGCTTGGAAAAAAAGGAAATGCGTTCTTTAAAAGACAACAGACTCGTGGAATCCCTTCACTCTTCCTTCAAGGCGTACAGCACGTCGTCCGGACTGACGTTGAGCCTCACCCGAAGGAGCAGGTCATTCCTGCTGGGCTCCACAAGGAGAAGGCGGCATGAGCCCAGGCGTGAGCACACAGCCATGGTCTCTGACATGGTGGGGTAGGGCAGCCCTTCCATTCGGCATAGGGCCACGTGCTGACTGTATATCTAGACAAAAAAGCAAGGCAGACGTTAAGAGGAAAGGCAGCTATGGGTCTGAATCTGATTACTTATTTCTTCTGGAAAAGCAGAACCTGGGTATCCAGGATGCCCAGACCTCCAGAAGGCATCACGGGTACCCAAATGGGGGCACAGATACAAAAGAAACAACAGCCCCAGAATCAGAAAACAGCGAGGGTGAATCCCAGTTCTGTCATTTACTACATATGCAGTATTGGGCAAGTTACTTCACTTTTATGAACTTCAGTCTCACCTACAAAATGTGCCGCGTACTGCGGAGTATGGTGGTGCACACCTATAATCCCAGCAGTCTGGGAGGCCAAGGGAGGAGGACCGCAAGTTTGAGCCCAGCTTGGTCAGCTTAGCAAGATCCTGTCTCTAAACTCAGATTTGAAAAAATAAATAAATAAATAAAGTGAGAAAACAGAATAAGAACACAGGGAGACAGGAGAAAATTTGCACACAGATTCCTTTCCTAAAGCTCCTCATTGAGCCGGGCAAATCTGTACGGTCCTGGTCATCTCTTTTAAATACGTATGAGTCTGTCTCTCCTACCAAGGATGAGAATGTGACAAGAACAGAGATGTTAACCATTCAGCCTGGGGTTCTTGGTACCTAATACAGTCAATTGCATGGTACTGATGTCCAGGAAATACTTACAAACTACAAGGAAAGTTACTCTCCAGAAGAGAGTGATCTCTGGCTCCAAAAGAAAAATAAAGGTCAAGATATAAGGAGCATCTAAAGGTTCACAATAGAATTTATTTTCTCGAGGTGTTGGGGATTGAACCCAGGGCCTCGTACATGCTAGGCAAGTACTTCAAAACTGAGCTACATTCTCAGCCCTCACAAAAGAATTTATAAATAATTTATTAAAGTAGGTGGAGGGAAAATGTTTTCCTGTCCTAATTTAGTTATGTGCTCATGTCTAAAATACATAGTACTCCCCCACCCAGCAGTTCCTACGGAACAGCCCACTCTTGTGACCACCTTTAACCATTGCCAACAGACACCAGTCTTGTTCGTTTGTTTGTTTGTTTGTTTGTTTGTTTGAGACAGGGTCTCACTCTGTAGTTCAGGATGGCTTGAACTCACTATGGAGCCCAGGCTGGCCTGGAGCTCACAGTGATCCTCCTCCTGCCTCAACTTTCCAGAGTGCTGGGATTACAGGTGTGCACCACAATGCCTGGCTCCTGATACCAGTCTTTTTTTTTTTTTTGGTATCAGGGATTGAACTCAGGTCCTTGCGCTTGCAAGGCAGGCAGCCGAACCGTTGAGCTAAATCCCTGGCCCCCCCCACTTTTTTTTTCTGACACCAGTCTTAAATCAGTTACTAAGGCCAGACTTAATCCAATGAAACTATGCTCAGATACATCAAATTCAGATTCATCTTTGATTTTCCAAACATAGCCTCATTCTGAAAGCCTTGTCTTCACTACAACATGAGCTGTATGTGCAGTAGTCACTGCCCTTGAGCTAAATCCCCGGCCCCAGTTACTGCCTTTCTTACCTCACTGCTTGAATATGTGGCACATAGCAGACCTTCAATTTAACATGCAGGCGTCTACCCATGCAACCCAGGAAAACATCCCATGAGTGCGAGTGTTGGACAGCACAGTACAGTGACTATAGTTTACAATAACCTGTTACATGTCTATAAAGAACTAGAAAAGAGGTGCTCAAAGGCTCTAAATATAGATAAGGTGATAGAAATGCTAATACTGTTATTGGGTTAGTAATACCGTTATTGGGTTAGTACTTGTTATATATAGGCACTGAAACATTACACATGAAATAATTATAATCATTATGTACAAATTCAGTTTAAAACCATTTAAAAAAACACGTGTTGGCTTGATATTCTTTAGCATAGTCAGGTTAGCATAAAATAGAGACAAATTTATACTCTGATTGAAATTTCCACATATCTTAAAAGCCCCAAACCAAAGTCTAGAAGATCTGAAAAAAGGAAATCAATCACCTGTTGAAACGTTGCTTCTTCCAGTCCGGATCGATGGAACTCTGCAAGGATGGCTCTCAGGAAGCCCTGTTCCAGGACGGAGGAATTCCTTAAAGGAAATGAGAAGACCTAAGTGCCTGCACCACCAGCTCTGAGGAAAACCAAAGTTTCTTGGTGTCTTTAGAGAAAAGGGGAAACTCTGAGAACCATTTCTGTATTATCTGTATTTCCTTCCTTGCCTTCAAAGTCTCAAAATGATACAGTAAATGGCACTTTGGAAATAAGGGGACATGGCAACCACCTGTCACAAATACCCACGCCCTTGTTGTGAGAGCTTAGCACAGTGGCGGTGAACCTGCAGGCGACTGCTTATATCACTCTGGTAAAAGGTTCACATCACTGGAAGAGCAGATCATGAAGCAAGAGAAGCAGCTACTTTGTTCTTGTTTCCAAGGCAGTTTTACCATCAAACCCCTCACGGAGACCCAATGAGTGGCTTGTTTATTGGCTTTAGCACTCATGTATTCTTGGTGTCCAAAACCTTAGCAGGCTGTTGACCTCCCTGGTTGTCCTTGGAGGCTTAGGGAGAGGAGCATCTTACTTGATGGCAGTGATGTACGAGGAGGAGAACATCTCATCCACAGCTTCCATTAAGTGGGCCACGGTGACCAGGCTGGGGGAGTGCTGCTTCTGGTGGGAGAACTCGCAGATCTCTGTGGCTCGCCGGCAAATATCCAGGCAGCGCCGTGCATCCCCCGAGAGGGCTGCTACCTACAAGAGGGAATATTTTGTTCCGGAGGTGACCTTGCCGCTTCAGCCCAGAAGAGCCTGGAGATACTATTCAGCTAAAATGAAAGGCAGTGCTGAGGATGGACTTGCACCCGAAGTTAAGGACTTAGCCCTGCCTGGGAACCTCACAAAAGCATAGGAATAAAACTGTATCTGCACGGGATTCTATTCTGAGTCCAAACTTTTATCTCTGTGCTTTTGTCTTTTTGAGTCAAGGTATCATGATGTTGTCCAAGCTGGCCTCAGACTCATTATATAGCCCAAGCTGGCCTTCAACTCACAATCCTCCTGCCTCAGCCTGCATAGCGCTAGGATTACAGGTGTACCTTTGTCTCTGGTACATGGCTGGCCTTTGTCTCTGTTTTACAGAAAACTCCACACTACAAAAGGTGGACATTCTTGGTGTATTTATTATTCAAGAAATGAATCTCAAAAAGAAACCCTTGAACTAAGATTATGAGTGGACCATCTGGAAACAAATAGTTCTCATTCCTTGCTGGAGAGAGGCAGTTCCCAGAGCAGCCAGCCAAGGCCAGAGGCAGAGCACAGCCTCTGTGGAGATAAGGCCGCAGGTCGCCTTCCTCACAGGGAGTCTCAGCTCAGCTCATCCTAAATCCCGGGACGAGGCCTGATCAGAGGCTAAGAGAACCAGAATGAATAATGGGGGAGGGAAGGAAGTCAAAAAGCTGAAAAACCCAGAGGAATGTTGTTAGATGGATGAATCAGTCCAACCTACAATTCTGTTCTCTTCTGTCGTGCTGGGATTGAACCAAGGGCCTTAGCCAGGCCAGGCAAGCACTCTAGCACTGAGCTACTTCCCCAGCCTCACCCCACAATTGTAATAGCACCTCTGTTGCTCCCTCCTTTCCACGTAGAGCAACTACACCACTTTTCTATAGAGGCTGAGAGGCTCAGGAACCTTCTCAGTGACTCCTCTGGTCCCTGCACCCTGAATCAGAAGGCCACTTGCATTTTAAGTTTCTCAGAGGGAATGCTTGGAAACAGTGCAGCCTACAAGGACCACTCAGTTTCTATTCCTAGTACTTGGCAGCAGTCTTTGCAATTTACCTGACCATCATCATAAGCTGCCTGGTAACACTTCCAAAATGGTTATTTTCTTCTAAAATTCATGATATATTAAGTTTAGAAAGCAAACTATGTAGGCATATATGTACACAACACACTTCAAGTAGTCATGTCAGACATGGTTGTGCACACCTGTAATCCCAACTCCTCAAGAGGCAGAAGGATCACAAGTTCAAGCCTGGGAAACCAAAGAGGAATTGTCACAAAATAAAAACTAAAAAGGGCCAGATATGTAGTGCAGTGGTAGGGTGCTCCTGAGTTTAAGCCCCGTTTCCATACACACACACAAAATGTCATCTCTGGAAAGTAGAACTATACACAAATTAAATGTTTTATATATGTTTGTTTTTAGAATTCATAGTTGATCTATTCAAAACAAAATTCACTTTCCTGGTAACCAAGAGAGAAACACGAGTATCAATATATATTCTTCCTTTCCTCTAATCTTTCACATCCACTTGCTAAAGAGGCCCCGAGTTATTTCCTCCTCACCACTTCCCTCCCTCCCATCACCATCCCCAGCTGTGAAGAACCGCCAGAGTGGTAAAAAGCACAGACTAGAGAGCTGCTTCAGGACAAAACAATGAAAGGAATTTTCACCCTGGAGATATTCATGAACTTTGGTGACCTTAAGATTCTTTTTGACTATGTCCGGCGGGGGAGGAGATGTAAGGAAGAACTAGGGCCTCTCAACACAGAACCTAAAGAGGCCCTACAGGCACTTGGAACTCCACTAGCCTCAATAAAAGGGTAAAGGATAATTCATCACACGGCAGGATGGTAGGAGAAAATGCCTGTTTTAACCTTGGTACTAGATAGGTATACAGTAAAACAAAACTTGCATTTTTGCAACCACAAGCCCTAGTGGGTTTGTAGCCTACAGCTATGTTGTAACTCCTAAAGTCCTCAACTGGAAAATTTTTAAAAAATGGTAAATGCTGTCAGTGCCCCTAGGTAACTGCCAGAAGCAAAAACAAATTCTAAATGAACTCAACTTTAATCCAGGACTAAATTCTCAGATAAAGAACATCACTACATAGTAAAGGTACAACAAAAATTGAGACTCAAAGACAAGGCAAGAAGGCCACACATGCAGAACCAACAAAAATTGGAGTCAGACCTATGAAGATTTTGGGTATCACAGATTTAAGATACAGAATATAAAATGTTTCTTTATATGTCAATCTTCACTGAAAAACCAAGAACCACAAAAGAAAGGGAAACAACAGGAGAAATATTTTTTTTTTTGGTTCCGGTGATCGAACTTGGGTCCTTGTGCTTGAGAGGCAGGCCACCGAACCACTGAGCTAAATCCCCAGCAACAGGAGAAATGTAAATAGCAGTATAATTCTTCAATAAGAAAAGACAATGGGGGCAGCCCACTTTCTGGTCCTCCTCCTGGCTCTCTTAAACAGAAGCTTGCTTTCCATACTTTTTTCCTACTCTTAAAAAAAAAAGAAATGATGGTTCTTGAACAAAGATTTTGTGAATCTCTTTATATATTAACATAGAAATATTTTCAAGATGTATGGCTAAGTGCAAAAAAGTGCAGTTATATATTATGTTACCGTTTATGTTAAAAATACAAAATTACAAAAATAAAATGACCAAAAAAAAAGAAGAAAGAAAGACATAGAAGAACGCCAAATTCTAAGCTGGTAATGAGGTATCCAAGAACAAATCTCAATGTAACTAAAAACCTTCAAAATGTGCAAGGAGTTAGTGGTAATGGAACTGGATGGGGGATGTTTGGCTAGAAGACAGGGGAGATTGGTTGAACATTAAGAAAAAGTAGGAAACTAACGTTTTTTGTTTCTGGGTACTGGGGATCAAACTCAGGACCTTTCACTTGCAAGGGCAGCGGAACCACTGAGCTAAATCCCCATCCTAGTAAACTAACTTTTAAGATGTCTTAGACCAGGACTCAACAAACTATGGTCTCCTACTTGTTTGTACAAGTAAAGTTTTATTAAAACACAGGCTCATTCGTTTACATTTTGTCTATGGCTGCTTTTGCCACAAAAGGCAAAGCTAAAGTAATTTCAACAGAGGCTCTTATGGACCTTTATGTCCTGACAGCCTATACCAGTGGTGGTGAACCTATGGTACGCGTGCCACAGTGGGCTATTCATATCATCGAAAGCTTTGAAAGGTTTGCCATCACTGGCCTATAACATTTACTACTACCTGGTCACTCAGAAATTTTGCTGATCTTCACTGTAGACACACACCCCAATTTATACTGTTGGGTACACATCAGAGCTACTTAGCAAAGCTCTATAAGACAATCTGGGGTGTGGGTAATCTGTACTATTCCTATAAAAACTCTGTCCTGGAGATGATCCTTCTCTTACCAAGTCAAGAGATCAGACATTTACTCTCAATCAAGGATAAAGGAAAAGTCTCTGGACCTACACAGGTCTTACTGCAGAGAGGGATGATAACCACAGGCATGCTGAAACTGCAGTCTGCCTCCATCACTGCCTCAGGCAGGGCATGGGAAAGCTGAATATCCCAAGGAGAAATAATCACCAGTACTGTAACAGGCCCTATCAGATTACCACACAGTTAACAAAAACCACTTAACAGCCCAGAGTCCACCAACCAGCTTACTTATTTATATACTTATGAGACTGTCTCACTATGTTGCCCAACCAACCTTGAACTCCTGGGCTCAAATGATCCTCCTGCCCCAGTCTCCCCAATCACTGGAATCATAAGCATGTGCCCAGCGCCAACCAGCTTTTTAATCTCCGCACTTATCCCTGAGTAGACAACCAGGCTATCTGAGGAAAGTCTCCAACAAAGCAAGACAGAGATCAAAACCAACAAAGAGCATCTCGGAGGAAAAAGGAAGACAACCTCAAATAAATACACTGGCATTTAAAAACATAGCATTCAGAGAAAAAAAAAAAAAACAGCCTTAGAATATACATGATAGCAGAAGCGAGAAACCCTAACCACAGAAGGGTTGGATAGAGGGTAACTGTGAGGGCCCCTTTCCTAGAAAGTGAAATGCAGGGGCACCACACTGGCTCACATCTGGGCCCAGTATCTGACTTGGTACCCAGCTCCGAGCAGGAGAGACTAGCATGCGCTGCTGCTGCAGCTGCTCAGGGTTCACCTCATTTAAGGCAAGAGGAAACTACAAACACATTTATGTTTTTAAGTACTGAAATACTTGTGTGGATGTATGGCTTCTTTCTTTGAACTGGAGACAGATAGACACTTAAGCCACTTTGTTCATTTAGGTTTTCAGTACCTCATACCTCCTCTGAAGTGTGACCCTTGCCAGGCATATTATAGTCCTGAACTCATGGAATTCTTACCATGACCTAAGGTTAACCATTACAGCCTTACTCGCATTTTTTAAAGAGATGAAACTGAGGCTCGGGATGACTTTCTTACCACCCTTCACTTGCCTACTAAGTTTTAGGAGCCAGAATTCAAACTATGGTCCTGTATCTGACTATGTTACACTTTTAATTACCCAAATGTGCTTGCTCCCTGAATGAATTAATGTTACTCTGGATATAAGCTCAGATACTCATGACCTTCTAAGTAATTAGATAATAAGGTGGTTAAAGAATCTTTCCAAAGTCTCTTTGGTGCTTTATTTTTAAAAGATTTCCTAAAATACACCTTTATCCTCAGAGCATGCACCATACAGCCTCACACAAAGACTTGCTGACTTGCTTGCGGGTGCAGCTAGGGGCTCCCCAGTGGTGACTTACCTTCCTGGCCACCAGCTGGATGGCATCGTCCTCAAAGGCCTTTAAATGCTTGAGTCGAGACACTAGGATTTGCTGCAGTTGGCTGTGTGTATAGGGCTGGAAGGACATCCTGGTAAGGCCCTGGGGAACCCAGATGATAGAGGAACAAGTTCATGAACTGCCAACTCATTGCCCAGGTGGAAGATCATCTTCAGGCTTCAAACCCAATTCCACATAACAACTGGCTCATTTCTGGCTGGGGATTTAGCTCAGTGGTGCCACAGCCTGCCTCACAAGCGCAAGCGCAAGGTCCCAAGTTTGATCCCTGGTACCAAAAACAAAAAAAAACCCCACAATTTGCTCATTGCTTCAGGTTGACTGCTGCAGCCAGCTACTGTCCTTCCTGTCATAACAATGACCAGAGGTATCCTACAGGGCAGTAGTTCTCAAACTACTTTTCTCTTTAAGAACCCTTTATTCTGCCAGAATCATTTGGAATTAGATAGAAGCAGAGGTGCTCTAATTAACCTGGGGAGGAGGATGTCAGGATCTACACAGATCACACAGTCCCTGGCTTCCTGTACGGGGCTCACGATGATTGGATGTTGTGCTTTCTGTTCGACCACCAGGTCCAGGAGGGCGGAGACTGCATCTGCCTGGCTCACTGCTCTACTCTAAGCATCTAACAGGTAGTGGGTGGGTGGTATGTGCTTAATAACTTTAAAGGTAAACACTTAGGCATGGTGGCACATGCCTATAATTCCAGGACTCTGGGGGACTGAGGCTAGAGGACTGCAAGTTCAAGCCTACCCTGGGCAACTTTTTAATTAAAAATTTAAAAAGGACTGGGATGTAGCTCAGTGTATAGGCCCTGACTTTAATTCCCAGTACACACACACACACACACACACACACACACACACACACACATAAAACAAAGGAAAACTCTCCACATTTCTGCTCAGTTTAAAAGTGTAGAAGTAATAGAATACCAAGATAGGAACTATATCTGATTTTCTGTTTCCATTTTTGCAGAACCCCTTGGCCCAGCTTACAGACCTGTTCGCACAGCTTGAGGACCTACCAATCGACTCGACACCCGGTTCATCATGATCCTCTCTGGCAGATCCATGGTGTTGGCAATGGTCAGGACCACCAAGCGGGCCTCCTTGTGAGTGGGCCAGTCAAAGAGATTATACATGACATCTTGCTTGTGAGTCCACAGAAGGTCGAGCTGCCAGGGAAGAGGAGAGACATGCTGGGCCCGAATCCCCTTACCACTGTTCTTGCTGCATGTTCTGCTCAGGTCACCCTAGCAAAGCAGCAAGCAGGTCGATGAACACTCAGAAGAATGCAGAAGGGAGCCAGCACTCCCGCCCATCCAGTATTCACTCTTGGGATGTTACAGTCAGTGCTGCCCACTTCTGTCCACCTCCTGGGGGCACCTCACCTCATCCACAAGCAGGACAGTGGTTTCCTGTGAGGACCGTCGGTTGCAGAATCGTTTTGCCAGTAGTGCTGCTGCATGGGTAGCTGTTGCCTTCTGGCCTGTCAGCTTCTGCATTGGGGGAAAAACAGCTGTGGTAAACAAGCTTAAAGTGAGATCTGTAAGAGGAAGCAGTCTAGGCTGAGGATTTCAGTGCCCTGTTCTCTGCCTCCCATTCTAGTCTTAGCCTTAACCTGAAGGACAGGACAAGTACCAGAGGAGAAGATAAAAACCATGTGTTTGAAATGGCAATTAATCAGAGACTGGCCCCATAAGTCCCGCTAAATCACCATTGGACCATTTTGTAACGGAATATGGTCAGTACTGAGGTAATGGTTAATGAAGAAAAAGAGAGAGATTTAACCCCTGGCCTCCCTCTCAGTCCATTCTCTAGCCTGCCATCTGTGGGCTAATATTTGTCACCACACTGGAAGTCCTGGCTTGCAGTCACTCACTAAGCAGCTCCTAGACCTTAAAGTCCTTGAGAGCAAGAATTCCGTCTCCTTCTCCCTTGCTATTACTAGGCAAAAGACAATGCCTGGTAGACTATAAACCTTGAAATACACAGAAGTAAGTAGATATTTTCTTTTGCATTTGCCACTAAGTAACTATTTTCCTAAAAGCCCAAACAGCTTTGCTCACCTCCAAGATCTGCACGTAGACTTGGTGGGGCTCCGTCAACTTCATGCCATTGACCTCAATGTATTGGAAGGGAGGAACGTCATTAGTTTGGGCTGCCTGTTGCAGACAGCGTATCACCTCGTGCACAGTGGCAGTCTTTCCTGTCCCAGGGACCCCAGAGATGTACATGCACCTAGAGCAAGAGGGGAGAGCTGTAGGCAAAGTCTGCGCCAGTCACCTAATACCAGGAAGGACTGAGATGCCAGAACTGTGGAGGTGGGGACAGTCCTGGGAGCTGGTCAGAATACAATCTGTTTAAACAGAATCATCCCTCAAGCAAGACTGTGCACAAAACTACCCATGCACTGAAGGCCAGTGCCCCTAAAAGCCTCCTGTATTCAGAGGTGCGGCTCTGGAGGGAGACTGGACCATAGAGGCGCTATGCTCACGAGTGGAGATGGGGGCAGCATAACCTAGCAGGGTGCACATCCCTCCTGGGCTACTCTCTTCTCTCTGCTTCCTGGCCACTGTGGCAGCTTTCCCTCATGGCAGGCCTGTCCACCATACCATTTCTGCATTTGAGCCTGCCAACCACCCATGAGACTTCTGAAACCCCAAGCCAAAATAAACCTCTCCGCCTTTAAGCTGCGGATGTTGGGTATCTTGTCCCAGTGATGAGAAAGAGACCGAAGTGACAAGACAGCCAGTTTCCTTTTTTCTGAAAGGCAGAATTCCTACTCCTGCAGAATTTGGCAACAAAAGCTCCTTCAGAAGTGGTCAGTTTCAGCAAGGAGCTCATTAATCCTGCAGACATTAAATACACAGACCAGGGGATTCCTCCTCAAACCACCCCACCTGCCTCAGCAGCACTCACCCTCCAGTTTGGTCAAGCAGTTTGCTTTCCACAAAGTTGTAGATGTCTTGGAATTCCTGCTCTCGACAAGGAAGAGACTCAGGCACGGCAGAAACATGCAGCCTACAGTTGGTGGCAACAGAAGAAAAAGAGGCCTTTAGAAGTCTAACGGCACTCTTAACTGAGAGGTACCAGCAACTGGTCACCTCTCATCACTGGGAAGATGGTGACGGCAGACTAAGGTGAGCCCTTCCAAGCCTGTCCACGTTAGCTCAGCCAGACACTGTTTGAAAGGCTGATCCTTTTAAACACTAGATTTACTCTCCGCTCTTATAATAAACACCAGTGCCTGCACATTCTCCATATTTCTTTTTTTTGATACCAGGGATTGAACTCAGGGATCAAACTCAGGACCTTGCGCTTGGTAGGCAGGCGGTGGAACCACTGAGCTAAGTCCCCAGCCCATTCCCCATATGTCTTGTGAGGAAAGCAGAAGCTTCCCCATCCCAACTGTCTGAACAGGGCCCGCGAGCAGCACTACCTCAGCCGAGCCTCCTCTAGCACGCTGGCTGGCTCTGGGGTAGCCAGGCTTCGGCTGCGGATCTTGGCAGTGACACTCTGTGGAGTTCTGGGCTTGAGCTGTATTCAAAAAACAACAGGATTCAGAAAGAAAAACAAGATAAAATACCATCCATCATAGTAACCTAGTAAAAAGAATGGAGGTGGCAAATTTCTTTAAATTACTCTACAAAATGCCATGAGCTCCCCTTACTACCTCACATACACCTTCTCCATAGTCCAAACTCAACTCCTCTTTTGGAGGGATATGGGGATCAAACTTGGGATCTTGTGCTTGTGAGGCGGGCAGAAAAACCACTGAGCTAAATCCCTGGCTCCCCTTTTTCTAATTACACTTTGAAAGAAGAAATTTTAAGAAACCTGAACACAGAGAAAGGGTAGAAGAGTCATCAAAACTGGGTTTGTTTCCTAAGACCTTTTGCTAGGCTTGAAAATATGGTCAAGCTTTGTTTGGCTCAGGACTTTCATGATTCACAACATGCTATGCGGAGAAGCCTTGCCAGTGTTGCACGCTCTGCCCCAGGGCCAGTGCTCTGGCTCTTCTCTTCCTCACAGATGGACTGCTTGCTAGAGCAGACCGGCTCCTCCCTTCTCCTCACGTGACACCTCTCCCCCAGGCAGAAGCACTTCTGCTACAGCATTTAAGAAGGCTTTTTTACCTGTCAGTTACTGAGAAGGGGCCCATGAGCCCAGCAGACTTCTGACCTTCCTTTTCATTGGGCTGAGGTGTCCCACAGACTACAATCTTTTCTTTTGGGTGGGACACAGGAGCAAGGGGAGCTTTGTGTGTGTTTGAGGAATTCCAGGCAAAGATGAACTGTAGTTCAAATATGATCTACTCAGTTCCCTTCCCTGGATGTTTTTCTTTGACGTCAACCTAAATTCAATCTTGTAAGGAAAAATGGAGATCAGCTTCTAATTAAGCATTTCCCAGCTGTGTTCAGAATAACAAGGCGCTCCATCAGTTTAACTTGTTTAATCCAACATTTGTCAAATATACCTGAACACATCAAGTCCATTTTTCTTATTACTTTTGAATGTTTTACTAAAGTTCAACAGAGCAGGAAAAGACACCCATGCTTCCATCTACTGTTACACAATTCATCGGCAACATCTACGCAGCACTCCCAGTTTCTCAGCTTTATCACATGACACAGTGCAACCCACAGCAGGCTCAATTCCCACTGAGCACTGGTGCGCTCGCTGTGGGAAAGGCAAAGGCAGGAAGGCAGTTCCTGTATTTCCCTCAGGAAGCTCAGCTCTTGGACATTTGATCCTGAACCCTAAACTTAAAAAAAGTCACTGTGGACTGGATTCATTTTCAGTCCTCAGGTTCATTTAGGTCTCCTCCAGCCTGGACAGTGTTGAATAGGATCGATTTGTGCTCAGAACCCTACTGTGTCACCTCAGCATCCGCAACCCTTAAACTAGAAGAGACTGCTTCAGTGGGAAAAGAAACCTGAAAGAATCTTACAGCTTTCTTTGGTGTCTTGGAGGGTGTCTGGACAGATGGTGCCAAGAAAGGCTGCAGGTTCCTGGACGTGCGGCAGGGATTTCTTCTCTGATGGGCTAGAGCAAAAGGCTCTTCGTCCTCACTGCTAGAGTCGGAATCCTCTGCTGCTGACAGAAATTCTTTCTCCTCTTGGTCATTTTTATTATTTTCTAGAAACCTGAAAGGTGGAGACATTATTACTTTCTCCTATTCAGGGTTCAAGCATAAATAAGAATTCCATTAAGGTCAGGATAAATCAGAGGTGTTAGTCTCTCTTGCCACCAGGCAGTATAGGATTTGTTCCACTTCTTTTGAGACACTGCTAACAGGAGTTTATCTCATTAAATCCCTCAAACAACTCTGTGACTTACTATCTTACAAATGAAGAATCGAGGCTTAGAAAGGTTAAGTGACCTTCCTAAGGCTCACAGATTCAAGTCTAAATTCAGACTGAGGGCTATCAGAATGAGAGTGCACGCTTTAGGCTTATCACCCCACAACCTCACTGGGGACGATGGCTACGGGGCCACGGAAGCACAGATTAGCACTTCCTTTGCCTATGAAACTGTAATATTTGTGTGCAGCTCAATATGATTCCAGACAGGCTATGTAAAAACTCTACTGAGATAGAGGAGCAGGTAACAGAAGAAATACAGACATCGCACGTGGCAGTGAGGTTTCTCTGCCCACCAAAGAGCAGTCTTACCGAAGCTGCTGCCTAATCCGACTCAACGTTATGAGGGAACTCTTTCTGCGGATGCGATGGGAAGTAGAGGCAGCTACGTTCTGAGCTTCTGGTTCTTTTGCCTCCCTGCAAGATAATTGCAACCACATTATAGGAGCCAGTCTGGGGCACCTAGGACCTATCCACAGGCATGAGAAGGTAGTCAGGTGGTCTGCGTGGCTCCTATTCTTTTTACAGCTACTATGCAGAGTTAACCACACTTTGCTAAAAAGTTTGTAATAGAAGTTTGACTCAAACTCAGAGATTAAAGTTTGTCTAAATCTTACTGAAATAAGACTCATCATTTCAACCAGCTACAGACCACAATGTACCAATCCCAGGCAGTTTTCTGTCTTTTTTGTTGTTGTTGTTTATTTCTGGTGCATCCATAGATTTGCACTCGGGCTCAAGGTTAGCAGAAATGTAGATATATATTCAGTATAAAGTCTTCACTGAATAACAACCTATCATGCACTATTGGGACTATCTATGTACAAAACACTGAAATCTATGATTTCTTGCTGGTTGCATTTTTATTTGTATAGCTTATTAACTATAAATATTATCTAGTGTCAAGTTGCAAAATTTACAATGGATATATCATCTGCCTTTACTATATTTGAGAATGCCTTCTTATTAAAACAAAAAACAAAAACCTATGTTAAAAATGGTTGTTAAAATGTGGCATGGAGCCACAGCAACTAATGAAATCCAGAACAGTGATGAGGCAATGCAGGTTTGGAAAATATTCTTTTATAGAACAATCCTGAAATGACAGCAGAGTAAGTAAAAATCATTGAAAAGCATTTCAAAATACAGATACTGCAGCACAACGCTTGGTATCTGATTCACTAGGTATGGAAAGAGGCTTAGAAATCTGTATTTTGAGCCGGGCATGGTGGCACACGTCTGTAATCCCAGCACTCGGGAGGCTGAGGCAGGAGGATCACTGTGAGTTCGAGACCAGCCTGGGCTATATAGTGAGTTCCAGGTCAGTCTGAACTACATAGTGAGACTCTGTCTCCAAAAACCAAAAAAAGAAAATCTGTATTTTGGAAAAGTTCCCCAGTGATTCTGTAACACTGCAACCCACCGCTCCTAAGTTCTTTTACTATAATCTATTTCACATCACACAAAGGATTTGCTCCATGGAACACTCTAATTAATGTCCCTTGTCACCTCTTTTTGATGTATTCTGGTTTCAGATCCACACAAGGCACCTCCGAGGATCTTCGACCCCCCCTAGTAGGGGTAAGATTTGTCTCACTAATCTCCGTGGTTTTCACAGCTGGGAGTCGAGTTCTTAGGATCCTGTGATATTCAGGTGACTCCTTCTTATCATCAACACAAAACAGTCCAACCTCTCCAGTTTTCTCTGGGGATTTCAGAGCTGGAGATGATGTCTTGATTCCATCTGACTGAGGCCTCTTAGAATGTGAGGTAGTCTCTGAGAAGGTCGTTTTCCGCTTAGTTTTTCTTGGAGAATCCAAGGAAGCACCCGAAGTCTGCTGAGATATCTTAGCATCAGGTGTCCTAGGGAAACCTGAGCCTAAGAAACATCACAAAGAATGTGCAAATTTTATACAATGGACCTTCGAGTGAGTTTAGTTATGACTGGCTGCACATACAAACAACTTGGGTTACGACCAGAATATTTGTTTTAATTTATGACCAAAGTCTTATGACCCCAATACTAGCCACTTGTACAGTTGTAAACAGACTGGTGATGCCAGAAAAGTGTATTTAAGTGTGCGTAAATGTCAGTCTGAGCCCAGATGTGTGTGTTTGTGGAAGTGATATCAGCCAGTGCTATCCAAAGGGCCACCAAAAAGCTAGAAAATAAGCTAAGGAAGGAGGGGGAAGGTAAAGAAAACAATCAAAATAGAAAAGAAGAAGGAAATTGTGGAGAAATATGACAGTGGCATTTGTGTGACCAATCTTGACAATATGAACAGCACATATATCCACCAACTCGAAATTTTACTGAGAAAAGATCTGTATATGGAAGCTAGAGTTGCTGGGGTGGTACTCAAATTAGTAAGTCATGATTAATAATGTTAGACGAGGTAGAAAGGCTATTATCAGTGTGGATAAACAAAGGCAAGACGGCAGGTTATAGCCTGAGTCTAATTTGTGAAAAAGCTAGGGCTATAAAATGCAGATCTCATAAAGTACAATCCACGAATGGCTGATGACAGTGAAATATTTCATGCCAGTAAGGGGTGGCTTCACAATTTTAAAGCAAGAACTGGGGTCCATAGCATAACCAGGCATGGTGAAGCAGCCAGTGATGATAAAAGGGCTGCTGAAAATTGCATACAATACTTCAAAATGATGACACAGAAATGGTTTTTGCTCTCATCAAGCTTTCAACTGTGATGAAACTGGCCTTTTTTGGAAGAAAATGCCCAGGAGAATATACATTACCAAGGAAGAGAAAAAAACTGACAGACTAACCTTACTGCTATGTGCCAGTTTGAGTGAACCTCAAGATAAAACCTCTCCTGGGTTATCACTGAGACCCCTGGAGTGTTCAGAAAACATAAAGTCATGAAGAATAGGGCTAGGGGTCATCTAGTGATCTAATGCAAAAGCCTGGGTAACAAGACTACATTTTCTTGAGTGAATCAGCAAGGCTTTCGGTCGTGTTACAAAATATTAGAGGACAAGGGCTGGGGATATAGCTCAGTGGTGCCATGCCTGCCTGGCAAGTGTAGTCCTGAGTTTGATTCCTGGTACCCCCCCAAAAAAAAATAGAGGACAAAAGCTTTTTACTCATGGCTCTCTTCAAGGGTAATGCTCCTGCTCACTCATGAAATTTGGAAGAATTGACTGAAGAATTCCCATGGCTCTCAGTTGAGTTCCTCCTACCTAACACAACTCCCATACTGTAGCCTATGGACGAGCAAGTTATAGCTAACTTGAAGAAGCTATACACCAAGGTTCTGTTCCTGAAGTACTTCCAGATGGTCTCAGATACAGATGTAACCCATAAAAGAGTTCTGGAAGGAACGTTACAACATCCTTTCCAATGTCTCTCTAAAAATACCTAAATCTGCCTGGAAGTAAGTATGACCTAAAATTATACAGGAGAGAGACCTCTGAAGGCTGTGTAAGAGGAGCCTGAGCCTAACTGACCCTGTGGTTCATGACAACGTCACAATAGCAGAGTGCACAGGCTTGCAGGTAGATGGTGGTGATGTAAAGGACCTGGTGGAGGAACACTCAGAGTTGTCGTCCACAGAGAAACTTCAGCAATTTCTGCCTGAGTGACAGAAAATAGCATCTGAGGAGCTTTCTGAAAAGCAGGAGAAGCATCACAATCATTGTAGCGAAGTTCTTCTTTTGAAATAAAGAAAATCTTGACAAAATGGACAGAGCTACAAACATGTGTAGAGAAGACCCACCAACCCAGATGAAAAATCCAATTGTAATCACTTGCTTAATGACAGTGTCATGTCCTAATACAGACAGTGTTAAAGAAAAGACAGAAACGGACAACCTTAGACCAGGTTTTAGTTCTGAAAAGGTTGAGACCAAGTGACCCAGAAGCAGGTCCTAGTGGGCTACGGACTCTCCTGAGGAGAGAAAGGGACCCAGAGTGCCAGATTTCTGATGTTCTTATGGAAAGGGACTCTTTTTCCAAACAATAACCACCTTCCATTTCATCCTCCCTTTCTACAAGCCACAGATGTCAACCTGAATTGTCAGTAAATTATATACACTATACATACCTTTCTTTATTATGAAAAGGTTAGTTGGCTTCATTGGGAGGTTCAGAATGCATTATAGGTATTATCATTATTTTTTATGGGAAAAATAGTCTTGACTTACAACCAGCCCTTGAGAACGAATTAAGTTCATAAGTCCAGGGTCCACTATACCTAACTAACATACCTCCTAATTATTGCTAAATTTACCCAATCAAGATATGAACTTGAATTATTCTGTAGCCTTAAGATCTCCATGTACTTCTTCATTTTGTGTCTCTTTCCTGAACTTAATGAATGATTTTCCTAGTTAGAAGAATAGTTACTTTTAGTTTAAAATTTTTTTTTTGTTTTTCTTGCTGGGGATTGAATCCAAGGCCCCACATATGCTACATAAGTGCTCTACCACAGCACTATACTCCTAGCTCCACCCTGTAAGTCAACTTTTTCTGGAGACAGTTCTTCCAATGTTGCCCAGGCTGGCCCTGAACTTACTATTGTCCTGATTCAGCCTCCCAACTAGCTGCAACAATAGGCATGTACCACTGAACCTGACTCATAAGCCAAACTTTTAAGTCAGCTTCTGTGCAGACATTGAGCAACCACATTTCTCTGAAACACCCAAGCAGTTCTCAACCAGCTGTAACACTACACGTCCTCCATTTCAACTCAATGACATTTGAAGGAATTACTAGGGACGCCATTGAGTAACACGAGGCCTAGGCTCTTCTTAGCTCACATTAGAAGAGGGATTCCTGGGGACAATTGTCTAGATCCTGTGACTTGTTTCACTCTCACCAGTCCCAAGGGCTCTAAGGACTTCAACCCTACATTTGTAGATACAACTGAGCTGTTGAAGAGACAAGGTCTCTGCCAGATGCTAGGAGGAGACACAAGTTAAAAGAAACTCAGCCCTGATATTCATGTATAAGACGCTCTGGTCTAACAGGAAGCAGCTACAGTATGAGTAAAGTATGTGGCTAAAGCACGTGAAGGCTAAGGAAAACAGCTTTTGAGATAGAACTTTGGGGAAAGGTAAAATCTCAAGAGATAAAAGAGGAGGGAGAGGAGGCAAGTGAGAAGAACAAAGAGATAGCTATAAGCTAAGGCAGGAGGCAGGAATACTCTGAGCATGGAGCAGTTCTCTGGAGTCGTACATATGAGGGAACAAAGGGCAGACAAGGCTCAAAGTGTCATTTTTGTGCCTGTGTCTGAAGAGCCAAAGTGGCTTTATTCATAATCACCCCAAACTAGAGGCAAACCAGATGTCCTTTTAGGAGGAATGGATATGCATTGGTAAATTCATTCAATGGAGTATTGTTCAGTAATAAAAAGGAACAAATTACCAATACATGACAAAATGGTTGACTATCAAATGTGTGATGTTAAGTGAAAGGACTCAGACTCACAGACTGATTCCAACACAGTTCAGAAAACACAAACTCAAGAGACAGCAAGTACATTAGTGGGTCCCAGGGCTGAGGTGGGTTTTCTACAAAAAGCCATAAACTCATTTTGGGGCAAAACCAATTATAATGATTATTACACAAATCTATGTACTTCTAAACTTACAAATCTTAAATTAAAAAAGCTTCAAATTCTGAAACTTTTTTCTCACTGACATGAAATTACAAGTAGAAAGTTCAACACCTGACCTCATGTAATGGATCACAGTCAAAATGCAAGCACACTACAAATACTGTTATACAAAATTACCTTGGTTAGGCAGTATATGGGGGGCACACAAAACAAATCTCATATTAAGATTTGGGTCTCATGCTCAGGGTATCTCATTATGCTATTCAGATATTCCAAAAAAATTTTTACAGTAAATTATACTTCAGTGAAACAGATCTTAAACATTATGTAGAGCCAGATCTTAAAGGTCTTTGAACATGAAACAAAAATTACTCATTTTTGATAGAAAGAGGGGTAATTCATATCTAGGTTAACATAAATATACCCCAATATGCTGGCCTCCCTCACACCTCAATTCACTTTTCATCTTTCTGTCAAAATAATTCATACAAATATTTTCACTAAATCCTCCCTCTTCTAACTATGTTACTATATTTAGATGAAATTCTTGCCTTACATTTCAAAACCCTGCATTCCTCACAAATAGTACTACAATTATTCTGAGGATGATTTACAAATTATTTCCTTGATAGCTTTTCCCCATTTTCCAAATATTTTATATAACTATATTCAGCTACTAAACATATATTGTACAAAGGAGCTATCAAAAATAAAAACAGCCGGGACCAGGGATTTAGCTGAGTGCTTTTGCCTCCTGCCATGCAAGCACAAGGACCTGAGTTCAATCCCCAGTATCAAAACAATAAACAAACAAACAAATAAAAAACAGCTTTCACAAAAAAGAAAAAAAATTTAAAGTTTAAAAATTAAGCCAGATATGGTAGTGCATACTTGTAATCCCAGAATCCTGTAAGCCTGAGGTAGAAGGATCACAAGTTCAAGCCCAGCCTGGGTGTTATGATTTAAATTCAAAATGTCCCCCATAAGTCTCCCATGTTAAGATGTAGGGCCTTTGGAAGGTGACTGGATTATTGGGGTATAACCTGGAAGAGCGTATTCGTGTGCTCAGCTTCTCCCTCCTTTGATTCCTGGCTGCCATGGGGTATGCAGCATTCCTTCGCTATCCCCTCCCACCATGCTGTTTCTGTCCTGGAGCCAACTGACCATGGACTAACACCCTGAAACCCTAAAACAAAATAAACTTCTCCTGCTTTTAGTTTCAGGTGTTAGGTATTTTTGTCCCAGCAGTGGAAAAGTAACTATTACAACAGGGAATCTAACAACTCAGTGGGACCCTATCTCAAAATAAAAAATTTTAAAAAGGGATAGGGATATAATTCAGTCGAAAGCCCATAGGTTCAATTCTGAGTGATAGGGGAATAAATAACAATTTAAAAATACAAACAACTTATACTTGAAGAACTTGGCATATACACACAAAAAAATTCAAAAGGAGTAATGACTTATAACAGGATGAGCCAAGCTGTCAGTGTAGCCACGGAGTGACATTCAGACACAGTGTAAGGGCAAAAAGCACATTAGAAAGGAATGTATACAGTATGCTCTCCTCCGGGAAAGAACAAAAAAATAAAAATACAAATCCATATTCATTTCAGGCATGCATCTATGCATATATATCTGCTCTTAAATATAATGAATCAAGAGTAATTACCTACAAAAGGTGAGGTAATAAACAGGGTGGCAGAGTAAGGAAACGAGAAAGGCTTCTCTGACAACATCTCTTTTAAATAGTTTGAATCTGCGTTAATGTTTCACATATTTAAAAACTGATACCAAAGATGAGAGAAGCCCTAAAATGAAATACAAATAAAAGAACCAAACTGCATATCACCGATAATTTCTTGTCAGAAGAAAATTAATCAAAGAATCTTTCTTCACTCTGTGGAATATATCCTAGAAGCATAAAGAAGCAAAATCAATTTTGAACTTTACATGGTGAGTTTGCCACTGGTATGGGAATTGGTATAGCAATTATAGAACTATTTTATGTGTATCAGAATTGTTCCTAGGAACCAGAGTTTTTCCTGAAGAAGAATATATAACCACAACACTGAGGATTTAGCTCAGTGGTGCCACCGTCTGCCTTGCAAGTGCAAGGACCGGAGTTCGATCCTCGGTACCAAAAACAAAAAAGAAAATATAATCATGAAATATGGGAAGGACACTGGTTCAGATTAAAAGTCTTAGTATGAATTTAAGAATTTTAAAATACATGTTTCCTCACTCTTCCGCAGAAGACCTAGGAGAAATTTCATCCCTGTGGCAGGGCTCTTGAAGAAACAGCTCATTCTAGGGCTCAGCAGCACTAAGGAGCCACACATCAAAGTCACAATAACAACAAGGATGAAGCTGGAAGATTTAGCTAAGTGAAATAAGCCATGCACAGAAAGACAATTCCACAAAATCTCACTTGGATGTGGAATCTTGAAAACTTGAACTCACAAAGTTTCAGATAGACAAAGGAATAAGTTTTGAGGCTGATTACATAGTAGTAACTACAGTGAATAATAATAATCTATTGTGTGTGTGTGTG